CTGCATTTCAAGCTAATGTTAGTTTCTCTAGAGAACACATAATAATAAAAAAATAGGAGATTAATTTGAAAGTTTCGATATATCTCATCTCTAGTAATAACATTAGGAATAAAACCATCATGACTTCAAAATATAAGCCATAATTGTTACTGGAATCCGAATAATCTAACTAAAAGGAGCAAGCGATGTTGATTATACTCGCTTTTACCCAGACATCTTTGAAATATTTTTTTTTTTTTGGCATATTGACGTCATTAGGGATATTCAACTTTTCAACCTTTTTTACTCAGAAAGTTATCTTGTAAATTTCAAAACTTCTGCAATTCGCTTTTTTCTTAATTTTCAAATTGGCTGTATTATATTATACTCATACAATACTGCATACAATATTATACTATATAGTCTGTTGTTGAAAATAATTGGTCATGATATTTGCACAGAAATGGCTAATTTCATACTTGCTGGAGTATATCTGAATCGCTTATGTAAAATGTTAATCACCGATTATTGTAATAGGCTTAAAAAACTATAACAGTATTGGAAAGTGCAAGTTTCGTGGGTAAATTTCTGGAGCATCAGGCGACGATTGGACGTCCGTTTGTCCTTTCACGATCGATTAGCTTCATACAAATACAGCCTGAGTTTCGATCGATAGCGTAACCGCCTGTCTCTTGACCAAGATGTGAAGGACTACGAAGTAGATATTCCAGGCTCACGTGTGGACGGTATTTTCTATCTGCTTTACGCCTTTATGAATTACGTTCTCATATGAGGTCGCAAGTACTATGTTTATGATTATTTTCACTTTTCGAACATGATATCCATCTGGCAGTGTTCCTATATATTAATATTTAATTTTTATTGCCTTTACAAAAAAACACGTTTATTTTCCAGGTAAGATAAACTAATCGTAAGGATATAATATTTTTGTGAAACAGCAGTACTTTGAAATAAAAAACTACTCGTGTTTTTCGCAATGTTTCTGAACAGATCCACAAACTATCGAGTTTCTCAATATATTTGTATGAATTTTACAAAAAGCGTTAAAGGATAGTATGGAAAAATAAATTAAAACATTTATTTCATGAACTGACTATAATAGTAGAGTCATTGTTTTAAAAGGAGCAACTATTATATAAAAAACACTTAACCCTTGGATAATTAACTGTAAAAAATTCTTCTACTTCACACTGATTATTAGTATGTTAAATAGATGTTTGTTTTGCTGCAGTTGATTTGCTAAACGTTAAGGTTAGCACCCTTGTGGGCTGTGTTTAGAGATCTATTATGCTGTCGTTGCTACAATTAGTAAATTGGATGCTTGGAATTATGTAATTATTTATTTAAAAATTATATTTCAATTATTCTGAAGTTTTTAGTATATAATAATATGACTTAGAACAATGATTTATATTAATATAAATAAATGGCATGTGTAAATATACATTTATTTTTATTAAATAATTTATAAACTAGAATCTAATAGATATGTTTATACTCAATTAGGATGGGTGGTACCATTAGTTGTGCCTGGGTGTTACCAACTGAAGCTGCGCCAGTGCGCAGGGCCCCTAAGTATTCCAATACATTTGACCAGAGTTTGATCCCCAAATGTGGCCCCACCTGACAGCACCTGCTGGATCCGGAAGTTTTCGCTGCGGAAATGGGGCCGGAATTCCGCGCGTGCGTCTGGCTCTTAGGCGATTTGAACCGCGTTCAAATGGCTCCGGCAACCTCCCGTCTCGCGCTCTCTTCCTTGCACGAAAGAGAATACGCTGGAAACTCTTTTCGCGCGAAGAAACATTTCCCGCTTCGAAGAATATTGGCAACTCCAAACTTGTCGTCCGCTTACCTGCGTCGAAGCGTCTGTTTGCTGGACAACACAGGGCACTCAGCGCTTCGCGTCACGCGCGACGTCATCCTGCGTTCGTATGTTTGCTCCGCCGGCTGAATGAAGTAGAGGCCCACGCTGTATTAGACGAATTCATTGTTAGACTAAAAGCGTATCTTTCTCTCGACACGTGAAAGTTCCATTATTGCATCCGAAGAACAATAGTTCAAATTTACTTATTATCAGTAGTTTAGTAACAGTTGAATGTCTTAAATAATGCTTATTGAGATTAAAACTCAGTAAGCTTGAAACTTTTCAGTGTATCAAATAAACAAATTCTTCTGCGACAAAATCATCAATGACAGCCACTGAAATATAACGGAGTAAAAAATTGAAAATAATACTTATCAACTAGAAACGGTCGACACGTGAATAACAAAGAACACGTTCAATTGCCAAAATATGCCATTTATGATATGATAAAGAGCTGTGCTCTTTCCGTAGGAAGAAATTAGGTTACTTTCTGCCCCTGCAAATCAAGCAAATCTCATTCAATTCGTGCCAAGTCAGTGCTAGGCTCTTTTATAATGTAGCAAAGAATATGGCTTCGTGATGTTTTTTTTTTATTGTAAAATCGGCACAAGAGAAATTCAGGAATGCAACGACAACAATTTTCATGCGCTAAATTGTTCCCTTTGGCAACACGAACATAAGTCAATGTTTCCTTCCAATTGAATTTTGCAATAATTTTGAAGGTAAACTTAAACAAAAACATTAGGCTTGAGAGTCGGTGATTCTCTTATAATCTTTCCTATAAGCTGTTGCTCAATTGTTAAACAAAACGGTCTTCAGTCATTATTCAATATAAGGTACTCTTCTCATTTCAGAGTAAATTGCTCTTATTTTCCTGTATTCTCTGCTCCAATACATACGAACAATATACTATTGAAAAGGCAATGTAGAAGCTCATTGACGTAGAATACAATGACTATGCGGTCTCCATGACATTGTAAAAATATCACGGTCTTGCGAAACTGAGGTATTCTGCATGTGAAAATATTAGTATTCGCATATGCCAAACGTGTGAAAATATTGCATAATAAATCCGAGTGAATTGAAATGAGAGGGTATTTAAACACTACCCCTTCCTAAAATTAGGAAATAAATAATAATACGAAGTAAAAAAAGTAAATAAATAAAGGAAAATTAAAGGTCTATCCAAGGTTATGAACTACATTCGATGAAGCACATTGAGTAAAACGTGAAAAAAAACATTTGTGTTGGTGAGCGTGTGTTCAGAGTGGGGAAGAGATGCTCGAAATAAGTATGACCGCTTTTAAGTGATGTTCATGATGTTCAATCAAACATTACTAGAATATGCTTGGAAGATCTATTTCTTCCCTACGTTTAGACAATAGATAATTTAATTGTTATGAATAATTGTTGACTATTTATATTCATGTGGTGAATTATACATCTCGAATAATTTGCAAAAATGTAATTGAATAATTGAAAGGAATAAACATGAGAGAAAACATACAAAAACATATTATCACTTACAAAATTATTCCATGTTTTGCAAACTCTTAGAATGAATTTATTTGTACTGTACGTTTGGTGAGTTACCTCAACTTAATGGATAAATAATTTAAATTGACATATTTTGACGTTTGTGAGCTTCCTTTCTTTTTACAAGTGATTAAATTTATTGCAACGTTTTTCACTTATAAAACACATCTCCCTTGCTGCAAGTTTTACAATTTGTTCACTCATCCAATATTTCTTCGAATGGGTCAAATTATATTTCCTTTCGCGTCTACAATTTGCATTACAGTTAAACCTCTGTTATTTGACTTCTCCTTATGGCCACCAGACTTGTCGAACTCTGAATATCTTGTTACAACGACGACAACAAAACCCTGAATGACTTATGTTACATACACACTAATTGATTGTAGGTACTGCATGTGGACGGCCTGTCTCGCGTTCGTGCACAATCCAACAAGTGCGAAAATCCGCAAAGCGCAAACGCAGATGAGCTCGGTTGGAGGTCACCCGCAACAGGTGGCTCTGAACGCGGTGGGGGAGTAGGCGACGGCGCAGCGCGTCGGGGCGCTGGTTGCCTCACAAGCACCTCCTGTGCGACGGGCGATCCCCACCCCGCCCCACTCCCCGCCTCACTCCGCCATTTCTCCCCCCCGGCTGGACCGGCAGGCCCCGCTTCTCCCCGCCACGCCTTAGGCAAACTCACTCTGTCTTGCCCTCTTCCGTCCTGTCCTCCGACGTCCTCCAGCCGCTCCGGTCCATCCCCGCCCCGCCCCGCCTGGCCCCACCCCACCCCGTCCATTCCCGCCCACTCCACCCACGTTCCACCCCCGCCCGCTGGCCCCACACCCCCGCCCCGCCCAAGCTCCCCGCCGCAACTCATCCCCTTTTTTCTCCGCGCCCCAGTGCCCCCCCCTTTCTCCACCCCTCCCACACCTATTCTGTCGTTTCCCCGCGCCGTGTTCTCCTCCCGGGGCTCCCGCCTACGAAGCTGCCCTTTTGACGTCAGCGACCAGCTGCCGCCGACTTCGCGTCGGATCTGTCTGCCTGTAATTCTCTCCGACGGCACCAGCTGGAACAACACGATCGTACAATGGTTCTGGGGTGCGGGTTATTGCAAACCTTCTTCGTGTGAGATCCAGCTCACAAACGCACGGAAACAGCAGGCTGCGGTTTATAGATCGTTCCTTCCTTCTATGAGTGATAAAGGGTTTTGCTAGTGAAACTTTCACAAAAATACTTAAGCTAAAACGCTTATTATAAGAGCTTGAGAGTAATCATTTTAAAATATCCTTTCAATTTTCAAGAGTCCGCAAGACGAAGAAAAAGAAAAAAAAAAACAAAAAAAAAAAGAAAAAAAAAAACTACATTTTGAAAAATTAAAAAATGTCCGGAGATATAAATATTTTTAATTCTTTAACTACATGAAATTAACGAAAGTTTTAATATAATTGAAAAGTTGACACCAACTCGTAAAAATTACATTGTTATTTTATACATTTCACTACCTATCACAATTGAAAGTTGAATAACTGCGTGGGAATACGTTTGCCGTTTCGCAACTACCGTTACAACCCCACAGCTACTAAGCGTGACAAAACTGTTAAAAATTTCGTTTTGACTGATGAAAGAACAAGAGAAATTGGGCGTTTATCGGGACATTCGGGTTCGATTTCGGGCTAGGGCAAAAACAATTCTCTTCGAATGCACGAATATATGGGTGTTCGACTTAAGGAAGGTTTCAAATCAATGAAATTCATTGACATTTGACCGCATATGATTTAATTAAGTAAAATCTATTATTTACGAGAAAAATGAAGCGAAATGTAGTAAGGTTTTTCTTGTAAGCAAGGAAAAAAACATCGACATTTTGTTATAAAATATTTTTTTGTAAGGATCTCTCTTTCCTTCTCTCGCTCTCCTTTACACACACCCATACACATAGAACATATTTATACGCAAAGAAACCAGCGTTCCTTATCTTCGAGTTGGCCAGCGACGGTGACAAACGGAAATGTTCTCTAGATTTAACATCCGGTTCGCCCTCCTTCTACATTGTACTACAATATGCTTGTGAATTTCGATGACAAAATGCTAAACTACACGCTCTTGAGTGCTTTCTGCGAATAATAAAATTCTTGAAGTTAATTTCATTTATGGAAACCTTAGTTCTTAAAGTGTCAGCTACTAAAAATTATGAGATCCTTTCGATTTTTATTGGGTGGAATGTAAACTTCTGCTTTTCTTACAGTATTCAGATGTGAAGGAAACTTCGAAGTGAAGCTAGTTTAGTGGATAGAGTTTAACAGAACAAAATAACATAGGGAAGATTAGGAATTAATCCCAAATTTTTATTTACTATTTATTTCACGTCAAAAACGCTTAAAAACTGTGTCACATACTATGGGAAGAAGTGCATTTTGTGCAAGTTTTCTAGAGTTATGGGATCCCTACCCTATTTCATATACACGTTGAATTATGAATATTATATTATACATATATTTATATAGTTATATTATTATAGTTATATTATACTGGTGGAAGAAAGAGTTTTTGTCTAGAATTTAATCTGTATAATAAAACTGTTTGCAAATGTAAATCAGCTATCGATTTGGACTATTTTTTCTCATCGTGCCCTTCTTGAAGGAATTGGCATACTGACGCGAAAACATGGAGAACGATTACTTGAGTAACTATTTCCCACTGAACTTAAGAAAACATGTACATTTATGTCCAGGAAATAAAACAACAAACATACAAAGAGTAGTATAGGGCAGGTATAAAGAGTTCGCCTGGAGTCTGTTACTGAGAGCTCAGTGATTTGTCAATAAAATGACGTTGGAACAAACCATAACTCTCCTCTGACGTACATTGCAAGTGAAGGAAATTGTTGACCATAAAAATGTACCTGAAGTCCCATATTGCCACTTAAAAGGCACCAAATTCCTCAATACTTCTGTGTAAAGCGGGTTGCTCCGCATGACGTCATATCACGGCGCATGAATATTGTTCATTTCGGAATTAGTAACAAAAAAACAATTTAATGAATCCAGTTGAACATATTGTTACATAGAAGGTTCAGCCTTAGAATAAACCTTGCTATTTCCAACTCACAAATCGAATTCAACTTTCACAAAGTACTTAATTTCGTATACAATATTTCAGTTTTGCTAAGTAATAATTCTATTTGTTACATTTGTTTCATTTAGAGCAACATTTCAGTTTTGCTAAGTAAAAATTCTACTTGTTACAGAGCTTCAATGGACGATTGGCATTTGCCATCGCCGCGGCAGCGTTAGGTTCCTCTTTCCAACATGGTTACAACACTGGCGTTGTAAATGCTCCTCAAAAAGTGAGTTTTTGAAAATAATTGTTTGTTGTTGTTTTTTTTTTTTTGCCTTGCCTTGCCTTGTGGACTACTTTATCTTTGCCTAACAAATTCTTAGGTATTTGTTTTGTTTCTCTCTTCCCTTTTACTTAGATCACATCAACATAAATTTTTCAAAATTCTATAGTCTATAAAAGTCTACAAAACTGTTTATTGTAAGCATTAGTATTAGGCAATAGCAGTAGGCAATAGTATTAATTTGGTCCATAAAGTTCACAATTATAAATTATTTTTAATCCACTTTGTCTTTACAGTTAATTGAAGAATGGATAAAAGATGTGGAGTCAAACCGCACAGCAGATGGAATAGTAGATCCATCCAAAGTCACAATGATTTGGGCAATTGCTGTATCCATCTTCTGTGTAGGAGGCATGATTGGAGGATCTATCACAGGAATTGTTGCAGAACGCTTTGGCCGTAAAGGAGGTCTACTCCTGAACAATATTTTAGTGGTATTATCAGCAATTTTTCAAGGTATAAAATTTTGTACAGGATACATTTGAAGATGGTTTTTAAAATATGCCAATTTTTATGAATTAAATTAATTATTAATGTGTATTGGGTTACAGGAAGTGCAAAAGCAGCTGGTTCTCCAGAGTTAATCATTATTGGCCGCTTTCTCATTGGTATTAACTCGGGCATTAATGCTGGCTTAGCTCCTATGTACTTAGCAGAGATATCTCCTGTAAATCTACGTGGAGCTGTAAGTTTTATTAATAAACTTTTCCAAATTTTGTAGAAAATACAGTTTGGTTGTAACCAAGTCTGGGACTTATTCATCATCATCATTTATTTAATCATCTTTTTGATATTTAGCTTCATGTTCCTTTTTATTTACATTTCCTCATACCAATAAAATTATATACTTTTACATGTTTAAGATCTTATTTATTTTTCTATTAATAACTTCTTAAAATGAGTGATTAATAAATGTTGTTTTCCAGGTCGGTACAGTCTATCAACTAGTCATCACAATTTCTATTCTTGTGTCACAAATTTTGGGATTGGAATCTATACTTGGAACTGCAGAAAAATGGCCAGTGCTTCTTGCTATTACAGTAGTACCTGGCATTCTTCAGTTACTTACACTCCCTGTATGCCCAGAATCTCCAAAATATCTTCTTCTTAGCAAAGGCAAAGAGCTGGAAGCCCAGAGAGGTAACATAATAATTTCTGTTTGGTTCCTTTATAAATTAGTACATCCAACACAGATAAATTAAAAATTATGTAATGACAATATCTTCCAATTAAACAATTGATAAGAAAAATACATTATTGAATTCTGTAAATAAAGGATACATCCTTGTGATACTTGCAGTAATTGTTTACTTTGTAGTGTTATATTTTGGCTCTACTTTTGGATATTATTAAGATGTAGAATAGTAATTTCCCACATGTCATTTAAAGGTTTTATTATTTATTTTAATAAGAAATATGTGACTAATAAATAAACATATTAATAAATAAGAAAATAAACAAAGTAAATAGTTGTCTCTTGTCAAATAATCAACTGATACAAATTAATTATGTATTTAATTTAATAATAAGTGTAATTGAATTAATTGAATTACATCCTAATTCTGTAATAATTTTGATTTCATAGCTCTTTCTTGGCTCCGGGGAACAATTGAAGTGCATGATGAAATGGATGAAATGCGTACTGAATATGAGTCTGTGAAATTGGTGCCCAAAGTCACCTTGCGAGAAATGTTTGTTAATTCAGCTCTCCGAATTCCACTTTTCATCTGTGTAGTTGTTATGATTGCTCAACAATTATCTGGAATTAATGCTGTAAGTATTAATGATCACTCTTTAAATTCATTTTTTCTGCCAAAGAATTGTGAGGCTAATGAAATTTTCAAAATTTTCAAGTCAATTTGAATCAGTAAATAGGCATACATATAAATAAGATTTTCTGATTTTTTTTTCTCCACAATATAGGTGATGTTCTTCTCTACAAGTATTTTTGAAATGGCTGGTCTTGATGGCGTGAATGCTCAATATGCCACTCTCGGAATGGGCTCAGTGAATGTCTTGATGACCCTGTTGTCATTAATCTTAGTGGAAGTAGCTGGAAGGAAAACTCTTCTCCTGGTTGGATTTGCTGGAATGTGCATTGATACTGTTCTGTTGACAATTTGCATGGCATACGTGGTAAGACATTCATATGCAGAAATATTTTTATCCATGAATTTCATTAGGAAATGTTAGAGGGAAATGTACTAAAATACAAAATAAAAGGTTTTATCATCAAATATCATTTTTGACTACTTATATGCATTCAAGGAATTCATCAGTGATTAATCTTAAGAATACAAATGAAAACAAAGTAAATTATGAATTTTCACATTTTGCAACTTATTTTCAACATTCATCATTTTAATTATAAAATAAATATACTCTTTATGACATTTTTCAAATTCTAACTTAATGTTTTTCTCTCTTTAATTCATTGTAGAAAGGAGGACCAGTGTGGGTATCCTACTTAAGCATTCTGTTCGTGATTGTGTTTGTGGTAATGTTTGCAACTGGCCCTGGCTCTATCCCATGGTTCTTGGTCTCTGAACTGTTCAATTCCTCTGCTCGAGGAGCTGCTACTAGCTTAGCTGTAGCTGTGAACTGGACAGCAAACTTTATTGTGGGCCTAGCTTTCTTGCCATTAGCGGTAAGTATTCTAAAGTTTGAGGAAAAAATAAACTTTAAAATTAAATTCTTCAGTCAAATTTACAAAAACTTTGGCTTTTTATCACCAACTGAAATGTGTTTTCATGTTATAGGAAGCTCTCCATGGATACGTTTTCATCATTTTTGCCATTCTGCAAGCATTATTTGTCTTGTTTATATTTAGGAAAGTTCCTGAAACTAAGAACAAGACAATGGAAGAAATCAATTCAATGTTTAGGCAGATTTCATACAATTGAGGACTTATTTAAAGGTATTCGCTGAATAACTGTCAAATAATGTTTTTGTGAACATGCATACTTTGACTTCTTGGTCATCCCAAACAAGTAGACTATCAAACTTGTGGCTGAGCAGTATGCACAGAAAATGATATTAAGCCTTTCTGTGATTCACTTTTGAAATGATTACATAATGATTTCTAATTGATATATTGTAGATAACTTACATAGTTATTGACAAAATTTTATTAATCATCAAAGAGAATCCTGTTAAGGCCCAAGTAAGACTGAAGGAAACAAAGCTTGTTATAAAGGGCTGCTTGAGAGCAAACCTCAATTTTCTAGTGTAAAGAATATTGTTTATGAAACAGTGGTATTATATTTACAGAATGAAGACAAAGACAAAAGTAGTCAAAATCAATGCTACCTTAGGAATGAGGTTGAAAAAGATAACCACTACTAAATGTTCTTGCATTTTAATTTTATTTATTTATTTTTATATATCTGCCTATGTAGAACAGAATTCAATACATTTAACAATATATCCTATAGATCTGATAAATGAATCTCTATGAATCTGACATTATAGAAGTAATTATTACCAAACTACCTGTCCAAATTGAAAAGTGGAAACAGATTGTACGTCAAATATATGTAGTAGTGTAAAGTCTCAATGAAATTGTCTTCTGTGATTGTGTTATGTGTTATATGTAAACTGAATATAAAAATAGACCAAAAACTGCTTTCTGGAGTCTAGATTGTGTCATCATAGAACTTTTGTTCTTTTAAATGTTAGATAGTATTCAGTATTCAGGAATAATTAGTTTTTGTGTTTTAGATAACGAATGTTACATATCACACCTACTGCAATTATATTTCAATTACATTGACTTTCATGATGACAAAATTTCAGGCAATAGGAAGTAAACATTGGCTGCTAGCTATGATTTGTCAATGGAACTATCAAATTATTTGAACTCCACATTAGTTCAATACATTGACAAAATAGTTTATTAATATAGTTTTAATTGAATGAAATGTGTGATGTGAATGTACTTGATAGCATGTAAAGGTGTATGTGAGATCACAGATTTTAAAGAGAAGATATGTGTGAGAATTTTATGTGTATTTATCAAGTTGCTTAAAATGTAAATGTCATAAATTCTAGATACTAAATTATTGTTAGGCACACCTGATACATTGCATTAGTTACATGTGTATACATTAGAGAATCAGAAAGTGGAAAGAGTGAATGTTACTTTACTGAAAAGGGACAAAAATGGAACTGTAATTGAAAGCTGTCTTTCTTATCAATCATCTAAAGAGGAAAATATATTAATGTTTATGGCACACAAAAGCAGTACAGGAATTTTAAACTTTTTAATATTTTTTCTACCAATATTCTTTAATGTGAATACTTTTTCAATTATGTATAAATAATAGTTGAATTTTCAAAGTTCATCCAATATGATTTTAACTTCATGACATTTCTATGGAAGACTGATGTTTCATATTACAGCCTATAAGTGGTTATTTTGAGACTAATTCTATGACCTTTTTAACTTTGTCATTTCAAAACTGTGTTTAACTTTTCCCTTATTGTCATAATTCAGTGAACAATTACATAATGTTTCATATCTTGTATTATATGTATAAATGAAAGATTCAAAGAAAAAATGTGTGAAAAAGAAACTAGCATTTAGAAATGTTTTTGTACATAGATTTTTTAAAAGTGGATTAATGATGAATGTTTGCTTCATTTTATGTTTGTCAAAAATACGTAGATGAACATATCTAATTGTAAATATTAGTTGATTGTGTAATAAATATGTCTACATGTATGATTGTTAATTGTTTTTACAAACATTTTCTTTATTTCGTAGTTAATAGTCATATAATAAAAAAAATGTAATACATATAGAAATATTGCATAGCACCATCAGTAACAACTGTAGGCAAAAATTGGCTAGTTTGAAGTAGCTTTCATGCAGTGTTTGTTAGTTTTGTTTTTATTTTCCATTTTGTTACAATTTATATGGTTTTAGAGGGCAATGGTTGGTTACTTCAGTCTTGATCTATTACCCATTGAGAGACATTCTTTTTACTTAAGACCGTTATACAATATTTCTGTAGTGAACATCACAAAAGTGGGGATAAAAATTTCTCCTATTTGAGATGCCTGACACTCGGCCAGAATTTAAAAGATTTTTGTATATTATTATAAAAGAGATCATATTTTCATAGAATCTAATTTGTGATAATATGAAAAGAAAGCCTTTTGAGTGATGTAAATTGGAGCCATCCTATATGATTAGTTTCAAACACTCAATTTAACCTATTCTTCAATAAAATTGAATTAAGTTTTTTGAGCTCAGGAGCTTTAGATTGGAAGTTATTTTGTAAAATTAAAAGTATCAACAATTGAGAATAGTTGTACCTTGGTGCAAAGAACCTTTGGCCATATTTCCTTAGATCACATGTTTTACTACAAAATTCCATCATGTTGGGAGTGTTAATAATAACATTCTTTAAACCACTCAAAGTTTAAAACCGTCTTTGAGGATGTAAGACAATTCTTGTGATACTAAAGAGCTTATTATAAAACTAAAAATACAGCTGAAGAGATTGAACATTATTGAAGAAAATTTCACTAATAAATGCATATTTTGTGTTTAAATGCCTAAATGTTGCCTATTCTCATATTTATTGATCAAAATGCAATTATACAAAATCATAAATAGTTAAAAAATTCGTTTCTTCATTTTTATTTTGCACAGTACAGAGAAATCGAACAACATTCAATAAATTTATGTTCTGTTTTACTACCACAACAGCGCAAGTATTACATATTACGAAATACATGCAAAATCACTGGTGGTGGAGGTGGAGTTATTTTTCACTTTGAATTTTTAAACATTTTTTTTCTCTAAAGCAGCTCTAAATTTTTCTCTGTATTTTTAAAATTCTAAAAAGTTAACATAGCAAAATCTGAATATGGTGATTTTTGTTTCAAATTATAAAAATAAATCTTATAAACTGCTACAATTTTCTTCATTTTTCTATGAATAGGACAAGTGTTTCTCAAGTACAGGTCTCATTTTCATTGAAACTGAATTTTTCAAAATGGGAAATGTTGATTTTTTTAAAGAAATAATGTTATAGCTCCTTTAGTTACATTTGTGTTAATCATGGCAATTGAAAAAATCATATAATGTTTTCAATTATGTTTAAATTAAAGGTGAGAAAAAAGATCATGTGTGCAGCATTTAAGTATCAGCTTGCATTTAATGAAATGCTAAAAGGTAGCTACTGCGATCCAGTCTTTTTTGTTCAAATTTCCCTGACAATGATAGAAAGGATTTCTACTAAGATTTGTCTGAAAAGTGGTGAACGCAAACATTCCATGAATGTAACTGTATAATGTTACCAACAAAATTTTGCTAAACAAGTACATAAATAAGGACAAGAAAGATTTATACTGCCAAATAAAATGCCTATTTAACATTTTTAAATGTCTATATTACATTTTTAAGAGCCCATTTTACGTTTTAAATGCCTATTTTGTCTGGCTATTTCTGCAGTTTTTTGTGCTTATAAATCTGCAGCTTAATAATAATACAAATGAAATGAAATTGAGTGAGTTATGTTAAGCATTCAGAATTCAAATTGCTTCAAATGAATATCTAAAATATGAATTTCCACGTAAAAAATATTTATAAATGGATAGCAACAACTTTCTCTTTGCATCTAATACATTAGTACCATGAATTTCAGCTACTGACTCCCTGTGCAATCGAAGTAATATCTGCTGTCACCGGCTTATAAAGAAGATAAAGAACTCAAGGAAACCTTAGTAGATACACAAGCAATTATTCAGGAAGCAAGAGATACATTTGTGGCAGCTCCAGGTGAAATGGGGAAAAACAAGCACAATCATACCCAAACGCGATAACAATGGGTGAGCGCTATGGGCAGAATAATTACCTTGGGCATTAAAGGGTTAATTCAGAAAACGTTTGTGAATGTTATGGATGAACAAATATTAAAGTTATTCACACATATAAATTGTGATACGAACAAATATTATCCATTTATTACTCACAATTATCACAAATCATCTATTCTCTATCTTTATTGAAGGAATCATTTGAACAAAATCATTTTTTATACAAAGTCTGTAATTGGAAATTACTTTTTCTGAATTATTATGTCAAACTAATATACAGGAATTGAGACCAACTAGATAACCTAAAATTCCTATATATGAGGCCTCTACATAACATATAAATTGCAACACAAACAAATCAGATTCATTTATTATTTACAATTATCACAAATTATCTATTCTCTAGGGGTCATCAATAAATTACGTAATGCCAATCATAGAGGAGAGGGTTTGAGGCAGCATTATGCTGTATTACATAGGGGAAGAGGGATGTTAGCTTAATGTTACATATTGTTAGTTTAGAACACTATTTTTTTCCAACATTCTTTGAAAGAATTTCTTTTTTCAGTCTTATAGTAAACATTAAAATATTAACTATTTTTTTAAATTAAATAAATTAAATTAATTATGTGTAAATTGTTACAAAAATGAAAATATTTATTTTTAAGTTTTTGTTTGAATCTGTAAGATTAAGAAGAAAATATTCAAAACTGATCTATATTCTAGAATTCAATTAAATTGGCATAGTAGACTTCTCGCATGTGTCATCCTCAAGGGCATGTGAACAGCGTAGTTGTAAAACATTTCCATGTTTGAGTTCTTCCTTCACTCAAACTTTGTCCCCAATCTTGTTAGGTTTAGTTAACTAATTCTGACTTTATCACAAATTTTTATATACAACACCCATAAAGTTAATATAAATTGTTTTTACTGTATTATAATTTATTTTTACTTCTTATAAATGTGTTGTTGTGAGCATTACATAATTATTTAGGGGAGTTCAATCGTGTTATGGATGCATTACAGGGAGGATAGAGGGTATTCAAAATACTCAAAATCAATGTTATGCAATTTATGGACAGCTCCCTATCATCTTTTTAGAAGAAATATAGATTGTTTTTTTAACAAGATCTGAAATTATAAATTAATTATTCTGAATTATTAAATCAAATTAATGTTCATGTACTGAGTCCAAAGTGTAAGAAAACTTTCTTAACACTGCCACTGAGACCAATTAGACAACCTATAAATCTTTGCTACATCAATATTATATGAATATGTTTTTTTTTATTGATAACAGTAAATATTTCTATAATAATTGTAAGCAAATACCAAAGTAAAATTATGTAATTGATACTCTTATAGGTTGCTTTATTATTATTATTTTTTCATAAAAGAAAAGAGATAAAAATTAAAAAATAATTTATTTTATTTATAAATAAGACTATTTACTTTATATATTTTGTTGTATAATGAAGTAAAATAGGAATGTATTCTGGATTTAATATTTTTCCTTGGCTAAGAATTCTTTTAAAATGCAGCAATATGGAATCTGATTTTTGCCTGTTGCCTCTTTTTAATTGTATATACAAGTAAATTAAAAGTCATATGCCTGAAATTATATTTTTGTTCCCATAGCTTCTAGTAGTGCTTATTATTTATTTTCATTATTTAACCAATGAAAAGATCAGAACATTTTAGGGGAATGTCAAAAAAATTAGCATAAGGAAAAGATGAAGAGGAAATACATCGATTTCAATGTCATAGAAATTTGAGAAGAATTGACAAAACATTTGAAGATGTATTCTTTAAGAATTTCAGATGTAACAAATGAAAAGGTTTTAAAAAATATACCTATAAAAGTTTTACCATAAATATAAAAGAAATATCTAATTTTACAATTTTACTACTAATTTTACAATGCCATTATTTGAGAATTAATATATCATAATTCATCTTAATACTGCTTTGTAATGTAAACTGGTTCACTTGTATCCCATTTGCTTTAATATTTTTATCAGAATACGCAATTATGTTAACTCATTTGTTTCATCTTACAAAGTTTACAGACTTAAATAGTTTTAATTGTTCATTAATCTGAGATGTTATTTCCAGACAAATTTGATACGGAATTTCATAAGTTGTTTTAAATTCGTGTATTCGTTAAATAGCTATATTTCTTTTTGTAAAGAGTTTTCCAAATCCATGTATTTTCCACTTCTTTTATCTGTTATTATTACAGTACCTACTGATTATGTATGTGTTGTAATAACGTGTTTATGTTTACAATGCTATCTGGAAGAACACGTGAGAATCACGTCACATTAACCTCCTACCTACTTTTCGAAACAAAATAAACTTTCAAACTTTGGGATTTTGTATTTACTTTTATCGAAGCCAATCGCTCTAATAAATAATTACATATTCCAGTTTGCGAAGTTGGGACGTTGACGTCTCGACCTCTTTTTGGTGTTTGTCGTCGACGGTCACCATAGCAACCTTCTTGATAGGGATACAAGCGCAACAGTCACGAACGGGTGGCCGTTCGCCAGCGTTGTTTTAGTTTACAGTTTTGGAAAGTGCTGTGCCGACTGGGTTTAAGAAGAAGGTGGTTTGCTATTGCTTAAGAGAAAAGGATGGCTAATCTAGACATTGATCAACATATGATGGATATATTTGATTTCAAAAGGCGTATCGGCAAAGGGGTAAGTTGCGAGGTCGATGACCGACTTAATAAGACGTGCGTTTCAAATCTTTCTCTTATCTCATTATTCAACATTATTTCTTAAAGGCATTCTTACTTTTAATAAGAATCCAAACTGAATATTTTCGCGAAGAACTTGTGAAACATGCTGTTTACAACATCAGTGTCAAGTGTTTATATCGAGGTCGACGAGGTCTTGATCTGGCTTTTCTTTATTTAGTGTTGATTCAATGGTTTATGGTCTCTCTTCATTAGTAGACTGTATTGATTGTTCTTGAAATTGGTGGTTTGAATTATTTTATGTAAACAGTTAATTATTGACATGTATTAAAATAATGTTTTCCAATTGTATTTGCATAAACGAATATTTTTAACGTGCCCCGTAATTTTCATATTTTGACTCTTAACACTTACATAGAGCCAGGGTGTTTACAGATTTGTAATATTTTCAAAAAGTTTGCCTTTGTTTCTGTGCTTCTGTAAACCTTTAGTCGTGCGTTCCAAAATTATGTTACGATTATGGATATCAAAGTATGAAATGAAGACGTGTTTTGCCGTAAATAATTCTTTACGTAAAATGTATGGTGCATTGTGAAATTTTCATTAGGAATGAGTATAAGTGTGTCTAAATTTGTTTTAGTACATTTAGCGTAAGATTTCTCATTATCATACAAATATGTAAATGTATTATGCCAATGTTTTTGTGATTTTTTAGTGTCTTTTGGGTTGGATTTGTTTTACGATCTCTTGTCTAATCATGGTTTAGACGAAGGGGAAATTCTTGGCTTTATTAATTTAGTAAAATACAGTCATTTCGTAAATGATATCATATTTTTCCTGTTAACGAATTTCTGATTTTTAACACCACCAAAAAAGTAAAAACTATGTGACGTACGGGGGAGAAGTATAATCTGCGCACGTTTCCTCGAGCTCCAAAATCCTTACCTCACTCGTCTACTATACATAGTTGAATTAATAATGACGTTTTCCTAACATTACTTACAGAAACAATGACAAAACTTGTTCTCTTTCCGCGATGGTGTTTTCCATTTCAACTTATTGTACTCTACATTTCGTTTGGAAATTTATTTTACATCTAATTTTACACTTCACATTATCGTAGAAGATGCAATGTATTTACATCATTTTTGTCGAAATTCTTGTTTGATTTTTTCCCTCAAAAACGGTAACTTCCAAGTGATTTATGGGTGGAAAAGTTAATTTGCGCGTTTTCTTGAGCTGTAGAATTACTATCACACCTTTTCACTGTAGACTACATACTACATGTGTCTCACTTAAAACTGATACATTTGATTCCCTGACTTACACAGAAAAAAGCCTACACTACTTTCCTGGTGATTTATTACCAGTGAATATCCTCAAGTTACCAGACTTGCAAAGTTTGTGTCATATTACATCCCTTTACAACAAATGCTGCAAGTGCAATCCCCCATTTCAATCTGCGTTCGTAAGATTTTACATGAAATACAACGCAATTCTCCAGGAGCAGTTATGTTATCGTTTATATTATTCCTTTTTAGTAAGTTTATCATACAAGTGTTATAGTATTAGCTTTGCATTTCAGAGCTCTCCATTAAATAACTAGTGATGCTGAAACAGCACCAACTTTCTCGTATTAATAACGATCCATATTAACATGTCCATCTCAGCCATCACTTGTAAAACTCATTATCAATCGTAACGCACTAATTATTTTAAGACTAATACATATCACAAATTCGACAATCCAAAATTGTTTCATACATCGAAAAACTTTATCTCCCAACCATCGAGAAATACTTCTATGAATTTCAAACAGCCGTGCGTTGCCATTCTCTTATTGTGATCTGCTCTGAACTAAGCTGCGATCACAATTACTAATAGGCCTATTTAAAAGAAAATAACAACAGCACATACTTTTTCTATCTGTAACGGATAAGTAGTATTCAGAATTTTAAATTGTGTCCAACTAAACCTTTCAGCTATCATGAAGAAACTCTTCAGCAATACAAGTGCAAGACCTGTGAATTTGCAAATTAGAAGATTGAAAAAACCAACGAAATTGCTTATATTAAAAAAAGTACATGATCGTATTTAAAAATATATTTTTGCTGCAGTAGTTTTCTAATTTTGCCTCTAGCTGCAGAAAAATATAAAAGTACTACATATTCATTAAACGAAAAATACAAAATATTAGTTCATGTCGTGCCCTAATTTCATGCCAAGCGTAATGAAATGAGTGACATTGAAAAATTCTGGAACAATACAACCCCTATTTACTGTAGGCCCAGAGTGAAGCATGTTTCTGAAAATGTAATTGAAATGATTCATATTTACCATGATTTGGACATGGAAGTTGTAGTGGACTACAGTGGGCAACCCTGCTAACCCCCTTAATTTAAAAAACATGATGCTTCACATACATTTATAACCACTGAAATTTTTCGTAGAGTCGGGGGTTTCAAACGATTGCTGCGCATTACGTTTATACAGGTAGAACAAGTAAGTGATAACCTGTATCTCCTGAACATTGCAAGATACGAAGATGCCATTTGGACAGTGGATTGATTAAACAAAGACTAGTTGGTTTCAGTATACTTCGTCTTTGCAGTACTTTTTACTACGAAGATATAAGGTCAACTTTGTATTTTGAAATGGAATCCTTTGCTAAATTTTAGCGCATCGTAATGGGCTTAAAAAGACGATTTCAAATATGCGTTTATCTCCGCATTTAAGCGAATCGTTTTTTAGAAATTGGTGCATTTTTGTAAAGTATTTTTCCTTTGAAGCGTCGATTTTCCATTCGACCTTTCCCTCTAACTAAATGGGAACTTCGCGCGTCCGACCTTCAGACAAACGCTCTCATTTATTTAAGCACAGTAACAACTACTTTCTTCGAAACCAATTTCGCCGAAAGGTGACTTCGTCCAAAGATGACTCAAATGCTGCTTCCGGAAACTTCTTGTTTTGTCATTGAAATACTATTGTGTTATGTTGACTTGTTCAACATATTGTTATAAATATTAAGTAAATAATACAAAAATAGATTAACAATTAACAAATCTTATTAATCATAATTTATTTGCAACTCACCGTCACATACAAGAATTCTGTATGCAGCGTTTGTGTCTTTATTGGACAAAGTCATCTTTAGGCAAAGTTGGCATTGAAGAAAGTAGTTACTGAACTCAAATAAATGAGCGCATTCACACACACACACACACTCATGCACGCGCGCTAAACCTGCGCCCTCTGGAATATTCTTGAAGAGACCTTGAAGGTTTTTGACACGACCATACGACTTAATGAACCAACAAGGGCGTATGTAGGCTTGTGCAACAGATCCACTGCACTGGGGCCCCGAATAAGAACCTCTCGCAAGCCCTTAATAGAAGAAATGGAAGTATTCCTATGCATAAAGAGGCATTAAATACGTGAGTTAACGATTGTATAATAGCTCTCAAGGCTTTAATAAACAATACGAAAACATTTAAAGGGGCATTTTTTAAAAGTTTAGTTTACCGATGAATTTGAGAATTTCATAGGAAGACTTTTCGGAAACATGACGAAAATTGCTGGGGAAACATCTGATGTTGAATTTTATGACTTAAGACCCTTCATGAGATCAATCGCAATTCTTAAAAAAATATTAGTTAAATAAGCTATTCACTGTTCCCGGAATGATCACTTTTCTATTATCGACCTAATAATTTTAGTAAGTACAGCAAGGTATCGCCCTCACAGTTTAGCTCAACGGTGGTCAACGTGCTCTCTTTCCATGACGCGACCCCGGGTTCGATTCCCGGTCGGGCAAGATTATAGTGTGCGTTTTCCTTGCTGTTTATGTCCTAGTTGTTGATGTGTGACGATAAGAAAGCTCACTTCACAAGTTGAGAAACCCAGAACACGCCTTAGGGATGTCTTCGTGCAGACCTTAAACCCATCGCCGCGAGGCTATGGCTGCCGGTAGGCCCTGGCCGTTGAGCTGTCACGTCAAGTGCATAGACAGCAAGGTATCGATTACTTCTAGGCTGTCCGGGTGACGCCGCTCGTTGGCAGATAGGCCGACGTTTCGCCTGTCATGTCGCAGGCTTCTTCAGGTAGTGACTTGGTCTACATAATATATTCCTTGTACGCTATCAAGTGAAGATTTGAGAAAATTGTTGGTTCATTACCCTCAGAAGCCTGCGAAATGACAGGCTCGAATAGCGTCGGCCTATCTGCCAACGAACGCGGCGTCACCCGGACAGCCTAGATAGTAATGGCTCGAACCGCGGGAAGCCTACGTGTACAGCAAGGTATCGTATCCACGGAGACCAGCTGTTATCCCCAGAAGACGTGGCAAACGCTACATAATGGCAATGTTGTTACTTTAGTTCCTTCTCCGAAAGTAATTTACGAGAAACATGCCTGATTAATGATTTTATACCGTTCTACAAGTGTTTTTTTAGTCTGTATTTAGTTGTATAATAATTGATATTAGCTGATTGATTTCGTCATGGTACAGACGATGCCCACGCCCAAGAAAGTATGCTATTCGTAAATAGCATAATTACTCTCGTAGATTACACTAATCATATTTTACGAGAAACGTGCCTAATTAGTTGGTTTCAGTATTTGTAAATGTGTGTGTTTAGTTTATATTCAGTGTTTAATAATTATTGCTATTTTTGAAGTTAGAGGATCAAATTTCTTTCTCCTCACAAGAAAACAATCATTACCCACTGATCTTTTGTTCTTTGAATTTACACTCAAGATATTCAGCTCTTGATGCGAAGTTGTACATTCTTAATTTGGAATATTCACCTGTTTTAATCGCTTTCACTTGTTTTGGGTTCGTTGAGCGGCTTATGTTAAAGGTTTTTAATTCATAATGTAGTCTCACTATATCTCCCAGAAGTGCAAACATCTTCTGAACAACAGTTAGTTAAATATCCAGTACCTTACTTTCGCGTATCAAGTGAAGATTTGAGAAATACGCAATGTTCAATTATCTTGCTCAGTTGATTTCTGAAACCTAGAGAATAGTAAAAATTATTTTAATCAATGAAGAGAAACGTTTATTGAAATAGTAAAGAAATATCCATTTTCGCGTTGCTCCTACATTATTGTATAAAAATGCCAGCAAGATTATAGCACTTTTTAACAAACAATTAGTTTTACAGGTAGTATATTATAACTTTTTGTTAGATATTACATTTACATTAGGATGACATATTTCTGTATAATTTTAAAACTCACGTTTCGACAATACAATGTTGTCTTCATTGTAAACTGGTCTAAATTGGTGACAAGAAAGTTGCACAGAAATTTCAAATATTTTACGTAATATAAAATTCAGATGAAAAATGCATTTTGAATTTATGAGAAAGAAGGAATAAAGATATCTGCAAACATGTTAAAAGAACAAAGAGTAAACCTGCGTCCAACGAGTTTCCGTTATATTTTTAAAAAATCAATTGGATTTACTTTCAAAGTTAATTAGTTACTTGAATCATGTGGAAATGACAAAATATTTTGTTGTACAATTAGAAACTTAAAGAGAATGTACGTACTTTCATTAATTATTTTACATTTATAACGGTAGGTAAAAATTTCGATATCCAAATTAAGTTATCAAGTAACAAATCGCTGGTCCGGATGGCCGAGAGCCGTAGCTTCGCCCGAAGGATCGCGGGTCGAGTCCGCCGCGGGGCATGCTGTATTTGTGTTCGTCCTCTCCCCTAACATCACTATATCGTGTCATCTTCACAGTGACCATACCGTTAAATGCAATAGTGGTTGCTATTGACCTAGATGTTGATGGAACCTTAAATAACAAAAAACAACAACAACAAATCATCCGTAAATGTTCCGAAAGTAACTGGCTTAAAAAAACTCCAACCCAAGCCAAGGTCCTGCCACAGGAATAATACTCGGGTTATCCTGCGTGGTCAAACCAGGTTTCAGATAAAACTATTCGCCACCTCAGTTACCTTAAGTTAATCCAACCAACATGCAGATTAGTAAAATATAAGGATATACTCCCCTCTTCCTTGCCAAATTCTTCATGAAAATTAAGTATTTTCAAAAAGTGCAAGACATCACTTGAAGATCTACAATTATTGTATGTTTGAGCTCTACAATTATTGTAGATCTTGAAATGATGACGTGCACCTTTTTACAATATAAGAAATTGTTGAGTAATAACTCCAAGAGGAGTAAAAGTAAGCGGTGCATCTCTACTAGTTTTAAAATGCAATTCATTTCTTTTTATAAGATGTTTAAATTATTGTATGTAACCATTTGTTTAAATAGTGGCAGTTATTCGTAATTTTTGATTTCTATCGTAATGCCAAACTTATTTTCTTAAATTATTTCTTGTAATACTTTTTGATAATATTATTAGTTTTCACGTAAATTGTGAATTATATTGTTTGCATTTTGCGAGTGATGGCTGAAGTAAAAGTATATATAATAATATTCCGTAACCGTTTCCAGCAATGCGAGAAAGTATGTTCCATTGTAGTATCACTAGTTTTAATTTTTGAGTCCAGATCTTACTTATACCACTAAATTCAGTTCATTTTAATTACAGGAAGAGTACCCAATGTTGTTATAATATTATACTCAGACTTACTTTTCGAAATATTTGCCAGGGTAGCAAGTTGCACGAAGTTCAGAGAAACGTTTCAAGATCGAAACCAAAACACATTAATACGGTTAAGTTTCTAGAAACACATTTAACAAAAAGGTTACGGCCTCACTATTCAAACGTTTTTTAAACGGTTACATGATTTCTTCTTTTTTTAGATTTTATTTTTTTCCTGTTCGGCATTTCTTCCTTTCAGAAATTTGTTCATTTCATACATTATATTTTGGCTGATAATCTCTCACTCTTGTAGATTTAGTAATTTACAATGTTTCATACATATTCATATACATTCAGCCATGGAGTGGGTGCTAGAGTGCCCACTCCCCCCCCCCCATCTTCCTCCACGCTGGATGTGGCGGGAAAGCAAAGGGCGCCCCCGGGGACATCGTTTTGCGTTTGTAGCAGGAAGTAATTTTGTTCACATTCCTCGCCCTGCTCCACCCTGCTGCCGCATGCTCTACCCCACTTTACCCCCCATTCTACCTACCCACTTTACCCCCTATTCTACTTTGCGCGCGGCGATGGTGTAACGGTTGACTGTTGTACCCAAGTTGGCGGGTTCAAACCCGATCGAAGCCTTGGATTTTTAAGGGCGAAAGAAACCATAGTACGCCTTCCTTCGGAGGGGAAGTAAAGCCGGCTGTCCCATGTTAGTATATTTACTTGCATGTAAAATCCTCAAGCCTTAATGACGCCTCTGAGCAAAATTCAAATCGCCTGTTCTCGCCCATGAAATACTCCTTTCTCTGCTAGTTGGATAAGGAGCGTAGCAAGATTTGCGTGTTAGACGGAAGAGCAGGCCTAATGCGCTGAGTCTCGCCACGTAAAAATAAGCATCATTCAATTCAATTCTAAAACCCCGTCCAGCCACGCGCTTGCGAGACAATAATGTACGTTTTCAGCGAGTCGCATTATTTCCAAGCTCCTACTAGAACTTTCTGCCCGCAAGCCAAGACCAGTGGATTTTGTAATCGTAAATGTCTGTCCATGGGGTTGAATGAATGTATGGTGAATATATGTGTCACGCGTAACTCCCAGATTAGAAGCTTTTGAGCTAAAATTTGGAAAACCGTTAGATCTACTTGTGCCGTTCCAAACATCATGAAGATATTTTAATTTTGGGAGTTCTTTATGCCCCTGTGATATTTAAAAAGACAATGAAAATGGCTGCATTTTTTTACTTCCTCGTACTTACTTCGTAAGAAGAGAAAGTATTGTAGTCGTGCGCCGGAAAATTGGGAATATTCAACACAAAAATGTATTGTCAGGCCTTGGTAATGAAAAAGTGTGTAAATATTGTTCTGTATATTGTAAATTGTTTTTTCTAACACGTATATTCAGAATCCATACTTTGTGGGCTCTTGATTCAAAAAAATCGATTGACTCGAAACTTCTATTAGTTCGTTTGTGGTCAACGCTAGCACCCAAACCATTCACAATATTTTCTTCGAAAATGATATTTCTCAATCAATTTCAATGAAATAAAGTCCCCAGTTTCTCATTACAATTTATCCTTGAACTATAAATATTTAGATCTCATTCACTTTTCTATAAAAATGAGTATTGGTTGACTAATAGCACAAAGAAGAGGAAGAGTTTCAAAATGTCGCACATTACTTATGTTATTCCTAAACCAGTACGCTCTAGACGCCAGCAGAAAACTAATTAGGTAATGTGAATTTTTTAAAGATAATTAATTTTGTTTTGTGTTTGTTACAGGCTTATGGGATTGTGTGGAAAGCAATTGATAGGCGGACAGGAGAAGTTGTGGCCGTAAAGAAGATTTTTGATGCTTTCAAGAACAAAACCGATGCACAGAGGACGTACCGCGAGATAAAGTTCTTACGGTCGTTTGGCATTCATCCCAATATTATAAAATTAAAGGACGTTCACAAAGCAAATAACAACCTGGATATTTACCTTGTCTTCGACTATATGGGTACCATTGTTTTTGTTATTATGTCGAATATATCACTTATTACTTGAAATCGCACATATCCTTTCGCTTAAAAATTATTTGCATACAGTATCATTTCAGAAAATAAATATTACACTTGCTAAAATTCCATTTTTTAATTTACTGCTTAATTCGCTACTATGTTTACTTCAGAAGAATTATTGCTTGCAGTGCGTTCAGTCACTTACAAGATTACTTACACACTACTCGTACTCACGCCACTCCCAGTCTTAGTTTCAATGCCCTAGAATGTTGTACAAGAGAGCACGACGGATTAACACGTCATTTTACGTCAGATAAAACTGGGCAAGAACTACAGTTATGTCTGATGACTTAGTATCTGGAGTTTAATCAATCACACGCATCTGACGTTTCTTTGCCAACACAGGGTCAATTTAAGACTAACAAAGGGGCCGAAAAGGGCATTAAACATTATTCATTATTTCATGCTGTTGAAGCATCACTAGGTCTGTTATTCGTTACGAAATATATGTTACAAACTTAAAAAATTGTATTCAGAATAGAGATAAATGATAGGATAAACAGCTGTGATTTACATCTCTCCTTCACGTCTTCCACATCATTTTGAGCATATTCACTTCGTGTCTCCTGGGAGTGAGCCCGGTTCGCCGAAGGAATCTGGCATTGGAGCTCTTATTACTCAACATTGATCGCAGAACAGGAAGCGCGCCAGGGATATCACGGAACAGACACGACTCTATGACGCTCACGAAATGATTCGAAGCAGTTAGAACTGACCCGTAAATGCAACTAGACACCTCCAGCGTCGTTACAACCCCTAGCGACCAAATGTTCCCCCTCCCAGTGTTCCCCCAAATGTGTGTTAATCTAGAAATTCAAGAACTTAATTTAAATGTTTTTTTATGGCGAAATACTTTATTTAAATGTTACGGCCCGGCGGCACTCTCTTGTCTGCCGAATGAAAGGAAAGTTCTGAATAGCTAGAGTGCCCACAAGAGCGAACAACTCCCAAGCATGCAATAGAGCTCCAAAGAATTTTCGCAAAAAAAAATTGTAATTTCCAAAATAAATAGAACTTTTTAAATATATTCTTTACAATATTGCCAAAAATATTACAAAAAAACATAAATTGGTGTTAAACATTGAAGGTATAAACTTATAAGTTGGTTTTTCAGATACCGATCTTCATAATGTAATTACTAGCCGTGGAATTTTAGCAGATGTACATAAACGTTTTGTTATGTATCAACTTCTGCATGCCACGAAGTTTATTCATGCAGCAAATGTTGTCCATCGTGATCAAAAGGTAGGATATTACATTTTCAATTATTCATAAAGACTTTTTAAGCGTCAAATTATTTGTTTTGATTATTATTATTTGACCATCAAACATTATAGACATATACTGTCGATGTAAGCTGACTGATTTTTGTTTCTCGGTGGCTAGATCTCTTCCATGGGAAATGACTGAGGGAGGGTATTATTATTTTTATTATTATTTTATTATTATTTTATTATTATTATTATTATTATTATTATTTTATTATTATTATTATTATGAACTTACCTCTGTGTTGTCAATAGCCAAAACAGAATCCTTTCGTTTTTTTAATCTTCGTTTTGTTGAAGATAAATATTATTAACTCAATAATAAAGTATGATAGATAAAAAAGATGATCTAATTGGATTTTATTAGGTAATGGATATTGTCTGGATAATCCAGGAGCAGATCTAGAAAGTATTTTATTTATTCTCTTTATTTAACGCAAAGAGGTGAATAAAAGTAGTGTTCTCCGCGGCTCCGGAGCCTCATGCGCATGAGTTTCCGACGTATTGAGATGTACTGACTGTGGTAAAATGAACAAGTAGGGCAAATATAATATTAAAAAATCAAAAGCACAGTCAAAATTTATATAATAACTTGCGGATTTACGGGATGTGTTGTTTTTAGATATACTTACGGTATTGACATGTGGAGCCTTGGATGTATTTTGGCAGAAATGCTTCTGGGAAGAGCTATTTTTCCTGGAAGTTCAACTGTTGATCAAGTAGAGCGAATATTATCAGTCCTGGGTCCTCCCTCAAATGAAGGTGAGATTTAAATTTATTTCAAGGTATAAAATTCTAAATATTGACTGACCTACTCAGCAAATTATCATAAAGTAAAAAGAGTTTTGTTTATTTTGCCTTGAGCATTATGATATCTACAATTCACTTCTTTCCTGGTTGTGTTTTGCACTGTCTTTTTTGATTTGGTCCTTTGCTGCACGTAATTTCTCTCTTTTAATGTCATATTTATAAATTACATGTCTTCATTCTAATTTGGTAGAAAACAATACTAACCAAAAATGTTTGATTTTTGCCAAGGAGACACTACTAGTATTCAGGAGCAGCAATATACAGATTCATTTTTACTTTCCCGTAATACATACGTATATATGTATATAATAAATTCAGTTGCTAAATTAAGAAAAAACCTCGGACGGACGGTAAAAAAAATTAAAAAATAAAACAAAAAACACCCCTTCAGTATCGGGGAACCCCAAAACGCGTACTTCTGTTGAAATCTCAAAATTGATTTTCCGAAGCTTTGCATAACTTTCCTTATACTACCGTCCTTATACATACGTACGTATACAGGAAAGTAAAAATTACTCCAATACGACCAAATTCCCATTTGTATTTAACGACTGTTAGGACGGGGAAAGGAGGATAGGCAATGTCTAAGTGACTCTCATCATTGTCAGGCAGCCGCTTGCAGCGTCCGCTGTAACAAGAGATTTATGAATAAACGACAGTAAAAAATTATCTTAAAAAAGGCGCATGTGGTGGGGAATTTCATATAAAAGTTGTGAGTCATTTGCCTGTGATTGATAGGCAACCCGTCATGCTTTGGTGTTTGGCAGAAATTCGATATACACACTGCTCAGTAGCAGTTCGAAGGATAGACGCGCAACACTCTACAAAACCATGGCCAGTTCGTGGTTTCCTAAAAGTCAGGGGTAAATATGCCAACATTATATTTTCGCGTATGTACACGTAAAGTGTAGCTCATTCACTTCCTTGAGGAGTAGAACTGTGAGAGAGAGGCCTTTTGGTTCATACCTATACAGCCATTCTATATGAGAGCACATAGTTATTTCAAGCTATTCGAGAATATGTCGAGGTAAATCCTATAGATTTTATAACACTACAATTCCATTGTATACCTATAGAAGATATCACGTCTGCAATTCTTATATCATCTGGAGTAGGTGTGGGATTGCTTTCGAGAGCACCCCGTTCTCGGATTCCCTTAAAAGATGTGCTGAGGGGGCATCCTGAGGATGCAATTGATTTGGTCACCCGACTACTTGTTTTAAACCCAGAGAAGAGGTTGTCAGCTGCAGAAGCTCTGGGACATGCTTACGTGCGAAAGTCAGTGAAAAAATTGCAGTTTTTGAAATTATTGCTCTCGATTCTTAAAAATTTTGATAATGGCTTGACCTTTGAAATTTCAGATTTTTAGAAACGTGTCCTGTGTCTGTAATTAGCGTTTCTCCTGAATTAGAAGATGACAGTCATTGGTCTGTGGCCGAGTATCGCACCAATCTGTAAGAATTTATATTTGAAAAAGATCTAACAAGGTTTGGAAAGTCTGCTACATTGCGAAGATGTAGAATTTATTTTTTTATGTGTAATAATATCCTTTGTGTAGGTACAAAGAGCAAGGGATTCCACGTGTACGTTCATGCTTTCTGACAAAATCTAACAGTCAGCTGCTACAAAATGGTGTTCACAATTCAAGAGGCAAAGTACCTTCACAGAGCAGCAAGAGGCAATCTCCTGATGCAGTCGCCAAGAAGCCTCCTGATATCAAGAGCAGTGAACGGAAAAACAGCGTGGTTCTTCCTCCTGTGGAAGGTACGAATGTTCATTAGCTTTACATTTTTTAAAATCGAGATAATTCTCGCAAATGTGAACTGTAATGTGATTTAACTGACTCCCTATAAACTCATTCACTATTCTTTCACTCTCTAGGCCTATTTCTTTTCCTCTCCCTTCTTTATTACTTTTCATTATTCCTTGTCCTAATTTGAGTTTCAAATGTCCTCGGGTTGGAGGACTTCTCTGTGTATTTCGAGAATTGATTGAAACAATGTTTGAAGTTAGTTTTCTGTTTTCTTTGGTCTATTCGAACTTGCACATAGTCTAAACAGCAGCCATCAATCGCCGTTCAAAGTACTTTTTTTTTAATTTTCTCAATACTTCGGTTTCCTAAAAGTAGAACCGAAATATTACTTTAAGAATATTAAAGAAGAGTAAAACTTCTTTCCGAAATTTGGAAACATCTTTCCGAAAATATTGTTTAAGCGTTACTACAATTGCGAAATTTGCAGCTCTTCTCAGAAAATATTTGAGTTTTCTAAAAACCTTTTTTTGAAATCATTTAAAGCACTTTAACTCACAATTCTAATAGTGTTTAAAAATCACTGCATATTAACGGCATAAGAGATATTCAAACAAATTACTTGTGTGTGAATTAAAAAAAAAGAATACAGCTGTGACAAAATGAACTTTGTCATATTAAACAGTGCAATTAGCACTATCCGTACCAAAAGTGTAAATAAAAAGTTTGGAGCCATTTTCGAAAAAAATAGCGGTTGAGCCTTTCTAAAAATGCAGAATTATGGGCTAATTTTCACAGAAAACTGTTCAGTTTTCGAGAACCGTTATCCGACATTAAAGAACATTTACTCACAAATACAATAATGTGAACTAATCGCCGCTGTAAATATTAATGACGTGAGAGAAGTCAAAAAATATTTTTGTATTTAAAAAACAACAACAAAAGAATAGAGCAACATGGCGGTTATGCCATCTAATAAAGTACATTTTGTATTATCCCTACCAAAAATGTAAAGAAAATAGTTTGAGCCATTTTTGAGAAAATTTTGTTTTTGTAATTTTCTAAAATTGCACATATTGCTCACAATATTGCGCGAAAACAGCTAAAATTTTCAAAACGTGTACATGAACTTAATGAAAGAACTCACTATGGAGAACAAATTTTATAGGAAGGGAAAATCTCTATCTTCAATTTTGTAACTGTAGGAAGACTCCCGAAAAATTTTGAAATTTTCGAAAAGTCAGAGTTAAACCTGAATACCCGCCCTATGTTCCTAGTGTATTTTACTCTATTCTTACAAGAAATGTAAAGAAAAAATTTGGACCAGTTTTTGATAAAATTTTGAAAATGTCCGGGGAACATCATGTAAAGTACCTCCAAATTTTAAAAGATTTTTGTTTCAAAATCTCAAAACTTTGTCTCAAGCCAAATGGACAAGGGTTTCTTCCATCTGAAAAAAAAACCGTATGTATGATTTAGGTGCTAGTAGTATTCACGGACTGACGGACGGTTTGAAAAAAACTACTTTTTCGGAATCAGTGGGCCTCAAAACATGTATTTTCGTTGAAACATCGAAATCTATTGTTTCCAGAATTACATAACTTTTCCTATACTACGTATAATACTCTGTGTCGGGTTCGTATACGGGAAAGTAAAAATATACGCGAAGCGAATATTCAGTTCTTTACCGGTGGAATATTATCAGTTCGCCAACGTGTAATCTTGAAAGGTTTTTTTTTAAAAAAATTTTATTGAGATGCTTCTTACTGAAGGACTCGGTAAAACTGTAAGAAATGAAACATTCGAAAAATGCAATAGAATCGAATCGAATAGTTCGAATATAACAGCAAATTACGCTATAGTTATTAATCCATAATGTTGATGAGAACTTTGATCCTTGGTTTCCGTGGCTTGCCGTGAGGGGTACGTGAAGCCAATATAAGCACCCAGCTTCATCATGTTTACTTGAAAGCTTTTTTTTTCAATATCACATTAATTGAAGCGGCTGTTACTTCCCAAACAATTTCTTTACACACTTTTTCTTGAAGCATTAACAAAATTTTTGAAAAATAACAGTTTTGAATAAAAAAGTAAAATAATATCATTGAAAGTTAAAGAGAACTTACTTCTCTTACAATATTTTTGAAATTGGCAAACACTTTTAACACAAATACATAGAGCACCCAAATAGTGGTATTTTATGTTTTTTTATTGATTTATTTATTGAGTAAACCTCCAAAAGTCTTGGGTCTTATTTGATATATTGAGCTTTTAAAATGTTAAATGATATTATTAAAAGTCACATGGTGGCATAGAGACTTGTCTCTCAGAATTTAAGCACTACAGCGATATGCCCACTAGTTTTCTAGATGTAACCAGTTTGTATTTTTTAATGCTTGTTTTTTTCCTTAATTCCAATCTTTTAGATTTAACAAATCATCCTTTCGGATGCTATTATTTCTTAAGTTACATGTTGTCCTGACGACTTAATTTTCACTTTCTTCATTTCTCCGTTATTTTCATAGTCCATTTATCTGCGTATTATCAAATTTTCTGCCAACAATTAACGAAATAATGTTGCAGGAATTTCATGCGGAGTTTTAAATCATCATTTAAATATTTTTCTATTATGAATGTATATATTTTTTTTGTTTTATTTTTTTTTCAAGTTTGTCAATACATTCTTTTCAATAATTCTCTTACTAGCAAAATATTATTTGGAACTGAAATTCAACTTACCTGTTTATTTTTCAATGTATGCTACTGCGTTGAATAACTGGAGAAATTTCTATAGAATTTTCATATTTAATGCTTTTGTGTTAATTGCTTGTCTAATAGAATTAAATCTGCATTTCTTTACTTAGCAACACAACAAACAGTTGATCCATCTCAGAAGCAGTGCCATTGCAGGAAGAATGGTTGTCATAGGAACGGTACTCGCAGTGCACCTCAAAAGACTGCCGTTTCGAATGCTGTCCCCCAAGGACCAAAACTTGTAAGTGGATATAGCTTACGGGAATTGCAACAACAAATAATTGGAATAGGAACTCGGTCATATATTTTCCATACTTCGATATCCATTGAAAGCTGGATTATAAGTACTATGCATATTCATTATTGGCCACAGAAGCAGTAGAATTGAAGAATAACCAAGTGGGTACCTATTGTTTTTAAATGTCTCTCGCAGGTTCGTGTGGTCGTTCGCCATGTTATCGCGGAAGTGAGTCGATTATTTCACGTACAGTACGAGAAAGAATAAGAGCAATAACAAAACAACAACAATAATAATAATAATAATAATAATAATAATAATAATAATAATAATAATAATNNNAATAATAATAATAATAATAATAATATTGTTTTGGAAAGTTGGGGTTCTTCACTTCTCAGTTTGAGAATACCAGAAATACAGCGCAGGGATGCTAACCACATGTACCCCTTAACCCATGGCCGCAAGGCCGGGACGCTGCTGGTAGGCGTTAGGTCATAAAGAGCTGTTGTGCCAAAGTACATACATACATGTTCAGGAAGTAATTATCAAAAAAGTAGTTTTTTTTAAATATCTATCTATGAACATCACTACATTATAGCTGCGGCCCACCTAGCATATCTTGAATCAACGCTTATCGCAACACGCGTTGCGTGTTGATTTAGTTCGACGGGAGAAGAGGTGCTCGGAAATATCGAAATCCGCACTTACTTTGCGGAGGCTTTCATACAAGCATTTTGTTTGGTACAATTGGTTTCTACCAGCGATATCACCGGTCGGTTCGGGAATTTCTCCTTAAAACATATCCTTATGAATAATTTTCCTCAGCCGAACTTCGACTTTAATAGTCCACTACCACAGATATCACGTGATTACATCTCAAGTCGTGTTGCATGAGAATTTGTCGCAATTTTTTTTGTTCTGGAGGCTGATGTTTGTTTACGTCGTCGGCACGGCGTCTGTGGCTAGCAAGATGCCCAAATATTTTGAAGTACCAACATCCCATAAGCTAGATGACTTAATTTCCAACGTGCGCTGAAATTACAAGAAAACTCTATAGCCTCTGACCATATAATATGGTTTCGTTAGATGCCGAATATCTAGAAAAAAATCCAAAATCGGTATGTTTCCAGTTTAAATAAAAAATTCAAATATTTGATTGTGTTATTCCGCATACTGTGTTTACCGACAGAATTCTCACATTCAGAGCAACACTGCATACGGTGCAGCTGACGTCAAGCGACAACAATCAGTGCCGAATCCAGAGAGGGGGAAGGCAATGGGGACTATGCCCCCCCCCAGACCTAGAGTTTTGTTACTCCCGTTATTTGGCCAAATTGGTTTAAATATTTATGTTGGAATTGTGAAATTATTTTAAAAAAATGATATTTTACAGTATCATACATAAACTACAAAAATAATATTTATTATTTTAAAAAAGTCTATGATAGCGCCCCCCACATGATCGGTTGAAGCCACCTCTGACAGCAAGACTCCAAGGAGGAGGCCGCCGCCATTAAATATTTGCAAATACGTGTTGCATTATAGAACAGCAACGTTTCTTTATATACTTGTTTCAAGGACTGTTGTAATACTATGTTATTGTAGAATTCGTGTAGACAGTTTTGTTAAAATATTTAATTTGTGGCAGTGTTATACGAGTATTTTATTTGTTGTTCTTGACTAGTGTGTGTGTTCGCGCGCTACTTTTTGGAAAACCAATTTATGCGGATTTCGTCATCGGCATTTTCGCTGTTCCAGGTCCCCAGTTTTATTTTTATGACAATCTTTGTACTGCCAATAATTTCAGCAAAACATTGCAGCGATGATATTTATTCCTTAAATAACCTTGTGTTCACAAACATTGTCCTTCATTGGACCAAACGTACTTGCGTGAGAAATTATCATTAGAAGAAGCTCTCGAACTACCAGAGATTTGTACGCGTAAATCTGCATTTTCATATCTAAGGAAGTCAACCAAGAAGCATATTGCATTTCACCACCACTGCCTTAACCAACTATTACAAAATGTTCGGCTACTGCTCTTTCTGCCGCCGCCGCCATTGTGTCCATGGCAGGCGTCATTTTGTCAAGAGTTCCCTTATTATTGGATTCGCCATAGTTGTGCCATAACTTAACCTGTTTTTAAATTATCACGGACACCCGTTAAACATATTAGCATTTAAATAGCTTCCTTTGCCACTCCCTCCCCCCGTTTTACGAACCAGAGATGTCCCTGACTTCGAATTAAAGATTTTTTTAAATATTGCCTTTTACTCGTACGTTTCCGAAATCTATGTCGTGAATCGCACTTTCTGGGCCCGTGATCCTAGACGAATTTAAAGTGATTTCGCGAACGACTTTTAGACGAAATGCGTATGTTAGTGCTGACACAATATAATGAACGTTTGACAAGCGATTAACACAAACCATAATTATTATAACAATATTATTATAAAAGGCGACACACTGCCATCTGTAAATTTATTAGATTTACAATAAAATGCATAACGCAACAAGTATAAAATTTATATTTAATAGTGTATAATAAATATCACTATTTAATGGTGGTGGCACTGGTGGATTCAGGGGTAAGGTCACGGGGGCCATGCCCCCCCCCCCAAGAAATGGAGCGAGAATTTTCATTTACCTTCCTTTATTTGGCAAAATTGATTTAAATATTTATTGGTGTAATTATTTAAACAATAATATTGTATAGCATCATATCTACAGTATATAAATAATATTTAATATAATAACAAATATGATTATTATTTAAGAAAAATCTACATTGAACCTTCCAAAAATGCTCGGCTATATCTGCCACTAGATGGTGTGTTGGAATACTTTTAGTGTTCTGGTGCATTAAATTTTTGAAAACCTACTATGAAAAACATAGTTGTTAAAATGTAACAGAGATTAATGGAATTTTGCTTTATCACGTTTCAATTATCCTTCATTTGATGTTCTATTTTCATACAAGGTATAGTACTCAAATTTTCACTTACTTGTTTGTTTTAAAATCTAGTCCTTAAGAAGACACTATAGTTTGCTATGATAATGCATATAAAAATTTATTTACAGGTTTTCTTATATTTTATGAATATTTAACTGCATCTTTCCACTGAGCCATCGTTTTCTTCTTTTAACTACTATTTTGTAGTCACATCACCAAATTCTTGCACCATGGCCCCAAAGAACTTATATATCAAAAAAAGTTATAAATCATTAAGAGAAATAATATATTGAAGATCAAAATAATTAAAGTATGGTTTTGACAAGTATAATTAATGTAGTAATATACACCCAATGTTATTTGACTCCATCAATGTTTATCTTTATTTCATGCTGTGTTTAAGGGATGTTTATTAATAATGCATGCAATATTTCATGTTACATCTGTATGAAAAAATATGTATGATCAATTTGTTGCAGCTTTCTTGCCGGATTAGTTTTCTTTGACAAAGGTCAGTTGAATGGGTTTTTACACACAGGCATGGTTATGTTTGAATTGGGTTTTTATGAGAGAAGAACAAAAAGGAATTAAGAAACATAAAATTCACTTCTCTAAAATGAATTTACTGACAAATATCAAGGTTTCTTGTCTGTTGAAAAACAGTCAAATACTAGACTAAGCAGATTAATGCAAATTTACTTAAAATTATAAATATTTACCCTCTGCTAATATGACCGATCCAATATAGTTATGAATCAGACTCATATTGTTTAAAAGGGATACTGTAGCTTGTAAAGAAAAATAAGAACTGTTAACATCTTGCATCACTATGAAAATGTTCTTTACACCACAAACAAAATTAGAAACCATTTCTATAATACTCTACTTAGAACAGTATGTACTACTTACCTGAATCTTCTCACACAACATACACAAAAATCTTATTTTAAAATTACTTTAGCCCATAAATTAAAACTACAGTAGGCCATTGTGTTTCCTAACTCTTCATTATTTTTCAAATTACTTAATTCTTTCTCGTGTATTAATGTAAATGGAATGTATTCATTTAAATAGATTAACAGAAGTGTTAAAATCAGGATGTATCCTTTCTCCATCCTCTTCAAATTCTGTACTGTCTAATCCCATTGGTGCCCGGAAGTGCATGTTTGTGGGGGGAGGGGGGGAGCAATTTGCCCTAGACCCCAACTTAATTTGAGTCCCAAATTGTTTTCATTCCAAAATTATTTTAAAGAATGTATTTACATCTAATTCAAATTAAACACTAAGTTATTTCTGTTGCATGCTGTTTGTGTATTAATTTTTTTTATTTTCTTTTTTTTGGGGGGGGGGAACTTTTATTTGAAATAAGATCTGGTAGCCCAGGCTACTGGATCTTATTTCATCACCTTTAGGAGGGGTGGATCTAAGGGGCCACCTCCCTTAGATCTGCAGGCGCAGGCCTCTTTTGTTTTCTCTGGGCCCCCAATTCTAACCTACCACCTCAACAAGATCATATACAAAATGCATATTGGCATCAATTTGCTCTTTCCTGTAACATTATGTTTGTGGAAGAAATTAATGCCCATGATAATTCTTTTAATGATACAATTTTGCTATTTTGTTCTCATTTCACCTTTTTTTAGATTCTCTTTGATTCATCTATTTTTTTGTGAATTGTTCATGAAAGAACATTACTATCTAATGTTTTGAAGAATGCAGTGAACTCTTTTTTAAAATCTTTAATACCTACTTTTTGTTGTTGTTTTTGAGAACCTAATGTATTTCTTTAGATAGCATAAAAAGCATCACAGAATATAACAAAAATACAGGGGCATTGTCACACGTGACAGAAACAATTCTTTATAGAAATACCCAATTTCACTAGTAGTTAGGAGAATACAATATTTAAATTATAAAATGTTCCTTTCTAATTTTATTTTGCTCTTCATATCATGAAATTTTTGAGCTCCTGTAGCTTCATTTTAATGAGGTACTGTATCATGTTTCTTTGACACTTTGTTGTTTGTTTTTAAGCAAAAATGAGAGGTAATATTTACTTACATGTGATCCAAACTTAACATGAAAATAAAGAGCACGACTTCAAAGCATATGATGATTTAGTATTATGTACAATTCATGATTGACAGTTAACACAAATTGTATTTTTGATATTTCAGCACAAATCACATAAGCTTCCTGCAGCCAGAATATCTAACATGGCTCCTCCTGGATTTCTACCTCAAGCAACTTCCACACCACACAGAAAATGGACTGGAGAAAATCTAAATAAGACCACTTCAGAGAGAGTATTTAACTCTAAGACTTTTCCTGGATTTATATATGAAACACCTTCCATTCCATATAGATCCATTAACAAAAGTTCTCAAAGATATTATTCAGACTGTACAGTTCATGAACTGACATATGTTTTACGTCGGTAAGTTCATTCTGCTTAAAGATAAAAAAACTATTAAAGAGATCTTGTGAAGTCTGAGCCTCTAATAACATCAAATCAGCAATTTTCATTAACATTCAGAGTTAAAATTATTTAAGCTTGTGAAGATTTTCATGGATTTTTACTGCATTTTCATTCCTTGATACTTATGCCAAGTATTTTTGTATCTATACATACATCGTGAATTGTATTTTAATGATAGCAGTAACTAATAATTAATTAATTAATGTAAGGAATGGGCATTCCTTTTTAATGGGTATTCCTTCTGTACTGTAGTGTAAAACATGATTTAAATATTATTGTCTATTATACTATGTGCTGAAATTTGTTGTGTGTATTTTTACTCTATCATTCTATTGTGTACTGTTCATCCATATTTTAATGCAAGTAATGTAATTCTTTCATTTTAGCTGTATAGTGTACTTTATTGTACTTATTTTTAAATGGATATTGAAAGATGAATTTTTTTATAAAAAGCAAAATAAACAACATTCAAACATATTAGTTCTCAAAACATTTTATCCTACCCTTAATCATCTGGGGAAAACTTATTTCACTGTTGCAGCGATATACAAAGATTGGACCGAACATACAAAAAATTGCATCATATGATGTGAGAAATTTTCAGAGTTATTGTGCATCGGATATTTCAGTGAAGTGGAAATGAAAATAAAAAACTTCATGAGGTGAGATTGATCTCAGTTTTCTGATAATGCAGTAAAGGTATGCCCAATCCAGATCCAGATTAAACCTTTTGGGGGCCCCAAAATGGTCTTCTTGTGTGGGTGCCTGTAATAGAATATAATTCACTACATTTTCCAATCCTGATTTTTGGTTAGGGACAGAAAAAAATAAAATTTGATACCAAACTGATGCCAAACAAAGTTTGTTAAAATGTATTACCTACTTAATTGTGTTTATTGGGACTTGGTTTTAAACGTAAAGGTAAACCTTATGAGAGAACTAATCTAGTATTTAACATTTTCTATATGCATACTTAACATTACAAAAAAGCAAAATCTAAACCACAGAATTTACACTGAGATACATAGCTGGACATTTCATTCATTACAAACAAAAATATTGGACATAACAATCCTCATTTTGACCCATTTATGGACACAAAAACAAATTTTCCTCCATCAAAAAGAGTGAAATACATGTGTATTGTGTAGATAATAAATAGTATGGTTTATTTAATTTTTACATTTCATTTATGAAAAACAAATTGCAAATAATCTTTTCCCCTTCACATATTTGTACTGAAACAATATGTTTTTCTTCTTGATTATGCAAATGAATGTTGCATTTTCTGCACTTCATACTTGATCTTTTCTAATAAAATGAACAGAAATATTTATTTCCAAATAGAATTTGTCCATTTCAGAGGGTAGTCTGTGTTTGGAATGAATTAGGTACAGTAACTTACTTCACTGAAGAAGGAAGCGACTTTACACCTCATGTTTTTATTTTCTGTTACGTTTATATCACTGTAAACATTTCTGGCCATCATTGTCAGTAGTCCTTCCTATGTCATTTTGCTCATTTTCGTCATATGCTTCCAAACAACCAGCATTTTTTCCATAAACAGCTCCAAATTGACGATGTATGTTTTATTTACGTGATTTGAACTAGTGGCATCCAATCATTGACAACATTGACTTTATCATATTACATTTCTTTTAAACATTTCGTACATCAATCCCTTAGATACTAGAATTTTCCAGTAAAACACCGGCCTGTAGTTCCAGACTTTGTCATGACCAGAATTATCAGTATTGTCAGGTGCGAATTGGTGCGAACGATGAAGACCCGCCCGCCATACTGATCAAATTTCCCGCTAAATCTCAACAGTTTTATAAGATGCTATAGTATTTGATATCATTTACAATTTTTCAGCATAACCTCACAAATGCAAACAATTTTACGTTAAAATCTGCTAATACAGTAAATCTTGCTCAATGCGGAACGTACAATGCGGAAACTTGTCTAATGTTAATATGAATCATGGTCCTGCCAAACATAAGTTCTACTGTATTCCTATGCTGCGGATTTAAGGCCTCTGTACATATCAATTTGTCGGGCCGACCGGCCAGTCAACTCAACAAATTGCATCGTGGGGAGGCAAGTTGTCCAACAAATATTTGTCGAGCGGTTGATTGGTCCGGACCACACGACTGTCGAATCCCCTACCTTACTGCCAGACAAATTGTGTAGTGTGTAGGGTCAACTTGCAGTGATTCCAGACTCCAAAACGGGACAAAAAGGGCAAGAGCTCGGTGGGACATATTTATCAATGATTTATGAACAGTGGTAAAATCTGGAGAGACCGCTAAAATATTTTTAATGGACTCACGAGCATTTTAACGGCCGGTGCTAGGGACGCGCTCTTAAAGCGTTGGACGGTTTGTTGCTAAGGACCTAAGCGCGTGTTTGCCGACGCAAATGACAAAATCTGTTCTGAAAATGTTAAAGTCATAGTATTTTACTCGCGTATAATGGTTATTATTCACTTGCTCCTACGACGCTCGTGTCGTAAACATCAACTTATGAATAATAGCTATCATTATGCGCTCCTTGAAGAATACTTTTCTAGTGGGTTGGCGATCTTTCAAGTCACATTTCACACATCCATACTCTTAATTGTAGAATTTAATTACTATTCTAATAACAGCGTAACATATTTCCAAAATCTTGCAAAATTACATCAAATAAGTTCAATATCTCACTTAAGTGTAGCGGCAGTTTGCACAGGAATTACCAAAGTCTCCTCACTAAACATCATCTATGATACCTTCCAATTTAAGTTGTAGAAGTGCCAATTTCACTTCTCGAAAACAAAAATTACGCTAATCGGACTCTTACCTCATGCGGACTTTTGCCCCCTGCTACTTTACTCTCAAAGCTCCCTCACCCTCTGAGTCCCCTCCCTGGAGAATATGATTACTTCGCTGAGTGTAGTATAAATATAGACATTGTAGTCTTTGAAAAAGTTTCCACCCTTGGGAAAGTCATTTTTTACACCCCTCCAAAAAACACTTATTCGTAAACCAAGAGACAAGCCAATCCTTGCTTAATAAAGAGAGGCTTACAGGAATCACGTGTTTGGGATTTGCTTGTTTTTCGTAAAATTCTCTTCTGTAATTTAAAATTCTGGGAGCTGTAGAATGTGTTTTTCCAGAATAATTTGTCATAGGTACTTCAGGCGGGAATGAACGTTCGTGAAATATACACGAAAGATATGAAGGCCGACTGAATTTGAAACAATTCTGAAGGCATAGCATAATGTGTTCAATTTATTTAAATGAACGTTCCATTTGAAGTTTGACTGAAATGAGAGACGCAAAAGCGCGTTATTACCTTTTTCAGCGGAGTATAAATTGTTTATTTGAAATGAAAAACTGCATTGTAAGCGTTTTCTCGTCGTTTATTAATTTCTCATTACGAAACAAATTTGAAAATCTGATATTGCACTATTTACTGTTTCTTTATTGCAAAGAATATACGCATCACCCGCGAAGAAAACTGTTCTTGCCTTTTGAATCGTCGAGGGCATATCGTTTATTATAATAGGAAGAAAATAGAGCGTAAAATCGAACACTGCGGAACCCGTTGTGCAATTGCCAATGAATCGGAAAGATGAGTAAATAATTCCAGTATACTTCTACCCTCTGATATCATTGTTTAGGTAGAACAAACATTCATCCATGGTGTGACCAATCTAGAGCCGATTTTTACTCGGAGGTAATTTTGAAGGTAAAATGTTGTTTTCAATCAGCCAAAAGCTTTTGAAAGATGTAAAAATATTTCAAGTCGTTTCATGTTGATCCATGTACGAAGCGACACTATGAAGAAAGGAAAATATGTCTGTTTCAACGAGTTAGAACATATAGCTCGTTAGGTTGTTTCCATAGATGTTCATTTTCTAAAAATGTTGGCAATTTGAAAACGCTTCGTATTTACTGAGAAAAGTTTACATTAATACTTTTAGTATAAGATAATAAAATAAGGTAAACCGGGGAATGGTGAAACTGTGACAGTACTACTTTAAATAATCAATGGTAGACTCTTTCGGATTGCATAGGATTATTTTGATCAAATTTTTCCATTTAGTATAATATTTCTCCACAACAGGATGGCAACACTGCCTGAGACTCTTCTCTCCGTTTCAACTTTCAACTCTGAAGTAACAGAAAGGTTTCAACTGGTGTCAACCAAGCGCGCTTCATTTAGTTACTAAATTTAGCGCATTTACCCATCATGGTTTCATCATTCAAGATAATATCCGAATGATTTATTACCCTGAAATCTGAGTGGCGAATTTGATTAATTCCAGGTTTCCATCCAGTAGATATAGGTGTCGTAGGAGCAATTCTCGAAAATATGCCTTTGGGAGTTAAGCCAGAATGTGTCAAGTGCCAAAAGACTGAGTCCTGCATGTGGAAAAACACTCCGGAAGGTGATATATGTGATGATTGTTACTCATCAGAAAAAACCAACGGGAGCATTAAAGGGGAAGAGAGTGCGGCTTCGTCTACTTCTAAGTCGCAAGAAAGTGGACCGAAAATAGCTACGAGAAAGAGTGTGAGAAACACTAGGAATTATAAAACTAGATTAAATCCTTATGCATTGCCAAAACCTTTGGCACCTAAAGGCAAAGGAAGAAGAATCATTTTTAAGAAAACGGTGAGATTTTGCAAAATTGAGAAACTGGATATTTCATTCAAGTTGTGATTGTAATATATAATAATTTGTTTTAGTGCACTAAAGCTCCATCAGCTGTTGCTACGCCCATTACCAGTGATTATGTATTTTATAAGGTAGGTTGAAAAAATTAACTTTTAATTAAGAAAACGGCTGTGCTTTTTAGGTTATTTATAATATCTTATTAAATTTTTGTGTACTGATTTCTAGGGAAGCTATTATCAAGTTGGTGATATAGTATCAATGCGTGATGTTGAAGGTGGGATTTACTATGCACAAATCCGTGGCATGCTGACTGATCAATATTGTGAAAAAAGTTGTGTTGTTACCTGGTTATTGCCTACTCAACTGAGTCCTCCTCCAGAGGAAGGGTTTGATCCTTGTACATATATTATTGGTGAGGTTTAATCTTGTTAAATAGTACGTTCCAATGTAAATACTAATACATCTTAGTTTGCTCTAAAGTATGAGGTTGTGTTCATTATCTTTATTATGTAGGCCCTGAAGAAGATATTCCACGAAAACTGGATTGTATGGAGTTCATTATGCATGCACCATCTGATTATTATAAAGATAGAAATACACCTTATCCCCCTGTGCAGTCTGCTGAAGAAGGGCCGTTTATATGGACAAGACTAACACGACATTTTCGACCACCATAATGAGGTAAATTAAAAATTAGTGGTGCATATTTCCATTGTACCTCTTTGATTTGTAACACAGTAATTTGGGAATTAGATTGTGATTGAATGTTCAAGTCCTCAAAAGTTACTGAGTCTTGTCCTTAAGCAGGGACATTATCTGGTCTGAAAAAACTTTATCTTCCAAAAATAAAACAAAAAAAATTCATGAAATGTTAAATGATATTTTTGTATCAATTGCTAGATTTGTTTTCAATACTTTAAGGAAAGCCTATATTTTTTTACTGGTGAAATCCATCAATTGTCTCTGCACATTTCTATAAACCCTTTTTCTCAAAACCTAAATTTGTAAGCAGATTTCACAGATAACTTCTGAAATTAGTGCATGGATTTGTTTAAGATTTTCAGGAATTATAATGAGGGCCAATTTCAAACTGTGTAGCTTCATTATTTTTTTTTTTGATGACCTTTTATGATTGAAAAAATTACTAATATGTGATATCCAATTCTTAATTAAAATGGTTTAGAATATACTGTTTATATAATTCTAGTTCATGTTGTACCTTCATTGCTCTACAGTTCCTACATAAGAAAACTGGAAAAAAAAAATAGAGACACAGAGAGAGAGAGATACTCATACACACACATCCTTCAAACAATTGTTATCTCTTGAACAATCCCAAAATCTTGTGTATAAAATATGGTATGTTGTAAAATAAGAAATTACCAGCTGAGATGCCTGCAGTGTCTTTGACAGAGGTCCTTGGTAGAGTTTGGTCCTAGGGTTCAAGTGATGGTAGCAAATTGTCGATGCTACTTAACTAGCTAGATTGAATTCAGCTGCTGTCTGCTCTGATCAGTTTTCTGTGGTTTTTCCTATAAATATCAGGTGAATGCTGGAGTCTTACGAAAGCAAATGGGCATGGAGCATTAAGTTTTTATTCCTCATCCTTGTAGTCTTCTCTCTCCCGCATGCACACACACTCAAAAGGGAGACAAGACAAGAGCTCGGAGCTTGTGTTTGATGGGGTAGTGATACCTTGCAGAGGAAACCCCAAGCCAACATGTAGGTCAGCACTAGATATCACATTCTAGCAGGAGAGGAACACTGCCGTCTCCTTGGATATAATACATGCATTCATTTACCATGGGGCTAATGATTAAAGCAGTTGACACAACTGGAAAATAAAATAATCAATAAAGATTAAATATTTAAAAATCATATCTGTATCTGTATCACTTCAAGTAGATCTTTCTCTTGTTTCCGGAAATGTAACTATAGAGATTCCCATACGTAGTGTGCAATTCAGCATAATATACATGTACCTCCCTACACACTCCTGTTCTTATTACGAGTTTTTGTGAACTTAAAATTGTTTTGATGTCAAGTCCCTTTTGGATACTGTAACAATTCTTTTCAAAATAGATGAGTTATTCATAACATAGTTAAAGTTAGTCATGCTTGTTGGTAATAAACAAATGTAATTTGCCTGTTAAAATGAGCTGTATAGTAGTCTATTTTGTGAATGAAAATTAAGGCTAAATAACTAATGAGATTGTTGTCCAATATACAGGATATATGAAAAATGTCATCAACAAGAGCATTGAAGTGATAGGTATACTTAATAAACAGACTATTTCACAAGTCCATAATATGAATATCACCTCCTCAGTCTAAATCAGCAATGTTGCAGTTCAGTGATGGTGTCTGCTTTGACGGTGAAGGTTGTTGGACTATACATCCATAGCGGGAATGGTGTAGCAGAAGTTCATACAGGTATCTGTGGAAAGATACGTGGTGAATACTGGAACCATTCGCATTCAAAAAAGCTTTGTGCGTGAGAATCCTTGCTTAGATTTTCCATGTTTTTAAAATATATATATTACATTACTGGTGTATTTGTTTTAATTATTTATAAATAAATTCCATAAAACACTTTTACATATGCTTCATGCGTGTTTGATTTTGTTACATGGGCCCACCCCCTATTTCTGAGTTCATTTTGCTTTCAGAATGGTTTGGAGTCTACTATCCGGTTGACGAGCCTTATACTCTTTGGTCTAATCTACCTCACTAATTTTATTGCCATTGGAAAGTGTTAATTCGGGGTATGCGGGTCTGGTATGACCATGTTGTCAGATGTTCTGTCACTTAATCAAGGGAGGTTACTTGGAGGCATAATCAAATTAATTGTATTGTAGGTTGCTGGGAATAAAATGTTTTCTATAAACTTATTGTAAAATACACCATTTAAACCACAAAACAAACTTACATGACAAACTGAATTAAAAATACAAATGTGCCTTATTTATATGGTTTCCATAACTTTCTTAGAGTTCCAATTTCTTTTGTATATTTAATGATTTATTTCTTCTACATTTTAAAAATAGCAAATTTTATTATCTGATATCCCCCGTGTAGTTCTATGATGATTCGCTCCCCTTATGGTGCCTCGTTTAACTTCTTACCATGCCACTCGTTTCTTTTTTTAGCAACAACTCTCTTTCTGTTCAACGTGAACGTACCGGCTGCAAAATTAACTTTCAGTGGAGCAGGCCAATCCAATGAAGTTCAAAAATTACCTTCAGATCAGTTTAATGAATGCATCTGCTCGCAAGCCAATTTGACATTTTCGCAGAGGAAAAGCAAAGGCTTTAAAAATTTCAAGAGTGTGCTGCGTAATGGGATGAAGCAACTGCAATATTATTTCACAGAACGTTACTTAAAATTAAAATTTGTTATCTGAAACTGAAATTAATCCTCCTTGCCAGATAAGCATCTTGAGATGTCACTCCTCCCGTCCCATCTGAGAAACTAAGCAATGCCACTCTGAATATGAATATTCAGACGGTATAAGCAGTACGAGGAACAGCAGAGTAATGCAACTGCAATATTTGCATTTTTCAATCAATATTCTTTTCCCCTTCATTGATTTTCTGGGTAACTAATGAAAGCATAGACTTCTCTCACATGATGCAGTCAGATGCAGCATAATTTTCTTTTCATTTCCCCATGAATTAGAAATCAGTAATATTGATACATAAAATATCTTGTAAATTTCCTGTTTGTAGGTCCCACACTGAATGCCATCTTTTAATTGTTTCACCTGTTCAGGAAAGCCCTGCCAAATAGTATGTTATTGTACATCTGCTCTGGTTTATTAATATATAATAAAAAATGGAAAATTAATAGATCTAGATTGGAGATTTTCCTCTGACTCCATGATGAAGGGAATTCACCTTAGCAGTACACTAAGTTGGCAAATATAAGATTAAATCAATAGAAAATAAAATATTTTTGAGGGAGAGATGAAAAATTTCCGAAAAAGAAATTGTGTTACTATAGCTTTCACTTTCTTTGTAAGTTACATAATATTATAATACTTCAATGTAAGTGGCTTATGTAAGTGAAAAAATTATTCTAAAAAATGATTAAATGTCACTTTATTCACTGCATTCAGTTCTATCTATTCAAAATAAAATCTGTTTTGAGAAAATATTGTTCTTAAAATTGTCTGTATTTCATGCAAAATTAGGGGAAAACAACTCGTACAACACAAGAAGTACAAGACATTATTTAAAAATCTCAGTGTGAAAAATAGATTTCATTAAAAAAACTATCTTCACTATAATGACAACATTTTTTGCAATTATCAATATTTAGACAATTCAATGAAAATTGGGCTCACTTTTATAAGTACTATCTGCGGAAAAATAATTGGAGCCTCATTTAGGAAAGTTTTGAAAATGTTATGCAAAGTATCCTCTAAAAATAAAATATATATTTCAAATTCAAGAGATCACAATGTCAGCAAGATTGACTGGGAAATATCACTTTTGGGGAAAGTTAAATAGTTTAACTGATATATACTGTTCACAGATGTTCTAAAAATTCTAATTTTTTTTTAGTGTCAAGGTCAAGGACTTATGGATTCTGATGCGATAGCAGAAGTACTTTACTACAAATACGTATAAGAATTATTCACTTTTCAGTATCAGGCTTTTGCTGCTGAAAAATTTCCATATGCACTGCAGCATAACATAACTTTCTCAATGCTGTATGAAAGTTGAATAGGGATGACAGCTGCAATATATTTTACCAGCAATGAATAATAAGTTTTACTCCAGTACCTGAAGAATTCAAGGTAATTTAATTTTGGGATTATCACAGCTAAATTTTCCCTTATTGGCGTATTTAATTTGTTGCACAAATATGCTATAAAATTTGCGGTTAACAAGGAATTATTCTTTCTTTATATGGAGAATGTGCATATTAAACAATGCATTATTTACAAAATTTAATGAGAATTTATTTACATTTCAAGACAAATATTTCTTCTAATTCTCAGCATCTACCTCTTCTGTAGGAGATTTATAAAAAGGTTTGCATTCTGGATACTTATCAGTCAGAAAGCTGCGGATTTCTCCATATTCGCTCATCAAATGCAACCGAACCTTAAAAATTTAATACATTTCATTAAATTTTAATATAAAAATCACTAATCAAGCAAAAAGTAGTTTCAAAAGTGTAAGCAATTACTAACTGATCTAAAATTAACTTCTGATTAATGATTCTTTTTATTAAAACTTGGTATTCACAAGAATAACTGTGGCCTTGCACCAACACATACATATGGAGAAAAAGTGAAATGAAGATACTGAATCTATACTTTCAAAGTATATTGACTAAAGTAGATATTATGGTAATGTTAATGGATCTTATATTAACTAAATATACAAACCTTATCGTGATTTCTTATATTCTCTTTCTTCTTCATACAAACAGTCCAAAAGGGAAGCTTTGTGTAAAATGGTGGGTATTTTTTCTTTTTCAAAACAATTCTGTTTCCCATGCAATACTGAAACCGTAAACATACAACTATCATAAATGTATGTCTGTTATTTCATGTAACTTATCTCCTTCAGCTTCCTGGCACCTATGTTTTTAGAAAAGAGAAAAATAAATTACCTGTGTATAATCCAGAACTTCTTCAGCAGGTATTTCCTCAGGAGAACGACACTTTGTGGGAGATGCTACAACTTCTGGATAATTGCCATTTTCTTTTCTAAATTCAACTAAATGAAGCTTTTTCTCTTCGGCCAATGCTTTATGAGTTTTCTGAAGCAGAAATAATAAATATAATTGAATTGAAGAGTTCAAAAACTTCACTTGCCATCATTCTTTATTTTTACAGAAGTAAGAACCAAATAATATTTACTTGGCTGCTATGATAATGAGATAGTATGGAGTTTTAACACCCTTGAATGTTATAGCAATCAAAAGCACTTTTGATCTTTAATATATTATTTTTAATTATAATTTTCCTACTGCAAGCTTTTTCTGTAATATTCGCTATGTAATTAATGACATTTGGATGATAAAATTACATTTTTAATTATAATTTTCCTACTACAAGCTTTTTCTGTAATATTCGCTGCACAATTCGTAACATTTGGATGATAAGATATGTTAAAAAATAAGAAATTTAATTTTATGTTATACATTTGTAGAGAATAGACCCGAACACTACAAAATATGGATGTCAATGAGACTTCTTTCACATTCATTTCAAAGCCGTTTCAACACTTGAATTTCAATGTATACTCAATGTATGCCTTTCGTTTCAGATCCTCATACTAAGGTGAGATGTATAGAAAAAAATTCTGAAATATTGAACTTTTGATTTTTTTAGTGGCAGCCTCTACGATAGAACTTTAAAATTGTCCACTGATAATTTTCACAACTGTGAGGATTTCCCACTCATTAAATTGTGTATGAAAATACACCAATTAAAGTTTTTGTAACAATTGCAACTTCCCTCGTTCTTACTGTTCTCGAAGCATTAATAAAATTCAGCATCATGATTCAGTTCTCAGGCCAACTTAGCAGTTTCTGTTAACAAAAATAGATTTTATTTTCAAAGCCGCAACTTTTAGATGTAACAACTGCAAGAGTCCACAACTCATGCTGTTTCTACAATCATTCACGCAATGTGGAAGCATGAAATTCATGCAAGGATCTATGTGTCGCGGTGCACATTCAGCTCCCAATGTATGTATGAAATGTAGTTTTAATGTATTGCACATAAATGAGACCTTGTTATATATTGTGGTTGATAATTCTGTTATCTATTTCTCTTTTTTCTGAGTAAACGGAGGTTTCATCAGTCCCCATTCGCAAGATTTTTTTCTTCATTACACATCACATTACAAACAATCCATATCTTTTTGAGAATAAATTAGGCTAGATATGGAGAGTTAAGGTGGCACCCCATCTATATTACTCTGGAAAATATCAATAACATTTCCTGGGGTGTAACACTTGTATGGTTTTGTTTCAATGGCTTCTTATAATTTGTACTAAACCATAATCTTTCCTTAGCATATTGTATGTACAGGGATCTATTGAGTTTTTGATAAGTCATTTTCCAATGGTTTTACCTTGCCCTTTGTCATCAATGACAATGTTCATTGTCATTAATGGCTGTTGAATCCTTGCAAATGATTTTTGATGTTTGTTCTGATTCTTATTGTTTCCATCAAATATAACTTTTGTAACAATAAATTCATTTGCACTGCAGCCCAATGTTTACTTAGTTTAACAGCATGTAGTACACTGATGCCAGAACTCTTAAGATATTCTTATTCATTACCTTCAGCTCCAACTTTCTTTTTGTGATTACCCACATTGATTGGATTCATCTACTAAAAAAGTTTTTCTTTTGAAAAAGGATAGTAAAGAGATTTCAAAGAAGGAAGCTGTATGAGTAGTTTGTAACATCTAAAAACAACATTTTAATGAAATAAAGATGTCCTGGGAGAGTCAGAAAATGACATACACAAACACAACATGAAGTCTAATGGAACAAAGAACTCCACAAGTGTATGAGAAATTTTAATTTCCTCAATATTTGAAGGGATGGATCTGATCTGATCTGATGATTTAAGCTTCTGGTATTCACCTATGTCCTTGTGAATATTGTTGCAACCACCTATATACAATTTCTTTTCACCACTCTTAATATTGTCTTTGTTTTTTAGTTTTCTCAACTTTAAATTCCTTTATCAAAACCTTGACAGAAATGTTACTTTGTTCCTGTTCTTCATTTAGTCTAATTTTGTCACCAAAAGTTAAAGTTTTCAATTCACCGCCAGACTTCATTCAAAATTGATTAATACAATATCTGCAACTTGTCGAACTGAACAACACTTAATGTTTAGAACCAATAAACCCAAAGCATGCATGGCATTAATTGTGGAAGGATAGCTAATCATGCCTCTTCCTTCTTCACAAGGACTTGTAAAGGTCAGTACCATCGCAAATAAACAGTAGCATTTGCATAAATAGCATGGGAAATATGATGTACAGACAAAAGTAGCTGAGAAAGCGAATGGACAAGAACAGGTCTGAGTGTCTTGTGGCATGATGTCACCACACTTAAAAGTCAATGTTAAATTTTAAAACAATATTTGTTTACTCTCTTATCCAGAATTTTTCATACCGTCGTACTAAAATCCTTTCTGTTTCCATCTTATGCAGGTGCCTGGCTTATCCGGTGTACTTTGCATCGAAAAATAATTGGTTCTGAGATTTTTTCTGGTGGATGTGGGTTTCTGCCTAAGACGGGTTTTACTGGACAACTAAACAATACTTAAGAATTTAATTCATGAACAACTAATCATGTGCTTTTTCTTGATACTCTACAGTGGGGAGAGACGGGTTCTGTCTATGTTATGGCAATGCAATGCTGTCAACTTTATCAACAAAACACTCAGCAAAATAGCAGTCTTGGACTAGAAAGGAATGAGTAGAGAGTGGATTTCTATGATTTTGCATATTTTTGTCTGTTGCTTCAAGGCACAGCTAAGTGAAATTTCTTGACTTTTGGTTAGAACTGGCTGCTATATTGATTATCATGTTAGTGAATATTTGTGCATATTTGACCGTTTTTCCTCTTATTCATGTAATTATAGGCACATATTTTGCATATTTCATTGAAGTAGAGATTTATCTCTAAAAGATCTCTCTGAATCTCCTCCCTCTTTCAACTTTTCATATGATCTATTTATTTATAAGGGTTCATAGATTACAAAGAGGTTGTCGTAGTTTGCGTTTCTATTCTGCAGATGATAAAATACTTGTGCAAATGTAGGAAATTTCTTGACATATTTTTTTAAACCAGCCAGAAGAAATGTAGCAAGACTTACAATGTTCTTCACTAAGATGAATATTTACTTTGGATGAGAAATATTATGCTTGCACAAAAATATATCTTTTCATTCCAAGCATGCATCTCCTGAATTTTATCAAGAAAGGTTTATGCAGGAAATGAAATATTGTTAGTTTTAGTTGCATATTAAAGAATTTTTAGGTCATAAACATTCTTTCCCTAGGAATGAGAAACAACACAATTTTTTTTAAACCTTAAGAAATAATTAATAGTTATTTCAATAGTAAAAATTGAGTAACAAGGAGGAGAAATGTTCATGAACCTTATTCATTAACTCTCATCTGATTCAGAGTTCTGGGAAAAATGAGAATTATCCTCGTTCTGTTCTGTAATTAAATTTTCCTCAAATTATACTCCAATATCCCCATCTCTCTTCCAATACTCTTCCTCAAGTTTCTGGATGTGTCTGCAATAACCACTCCAATCTGATGCACTGACAGATGAAAATGAAGAGTCTGTAAACTTGTGGATCTTCAGAAAATATATCACCAGTAATATTAGGGGTCTTGGAATATTCTTTAAATTTTTGCCCACACTAGTTCTATTGCATTCAGGTCCCAATTATAAGGTAGGAGTTGAATGACTGTGTGAACGTTCCCTGGTGCCTAAATGTCAATGGTGTATGTTTCGAATTGCAGTTTATTTACTTCATTCATTGTGCATATATCTGTTTTCCTTGCATCCGTAATGCATGGAATACCCTGCTTTTGCAACCACCTCGAAACTTTAGTGTGATATGTTGATGGTAATTTGTCTATGGTGATATGGGACATTATCCATTATAATCATGCAGCAGAAGGAAGATATGGAAGAACCCGAGAATGTAACCACTTTTCAAAATTGTTGAGTTCACTTCACCATGTGTGTGGAGTTTGCTGAAAGATCAGTTTCACCTCTTTGATGAAACCAATCCACGAACCTACACTGGCAACAATGAGGTGCTTGGAGGGTCTTGCCCATGTAGTAACACCAAGGATATCATTTTCTTTTTTGCCAGATCAGTAGATAGTCAAATAGTTGACAATCTAGGTTTCATCTAAATAAAATAATAATCTTCTTTCTTCTCTGAAATGTTTAATTTTAATGAAATCTCCAGTTGATAAAATCAGCACACACTAAAAATACAATTCTTTTATTTTGGACTTTTTTTTCCATTTGCAACCCACACGTTTTAAATGTTTACATAGGGAAGTTGGGCCCTATTTCCAATTATATTCTTTCCTTCATCCCTGGCAACAGCTTACTTACTGTAGACACAATTTTTCTGCACATTGAAAAAGTTATAGACTGTCATGCATTCTCATGGTCACAAGATTCCACTACTTTTGCAATAATTTCTGTCTCTGCTATGAAAGGTGTGGATTTTGTGACACTGAGGCGTCTTTTGAGATGGCCTGGGCACTGTCTCTGTCATTTCTTAATAAAATCGACAGTCTTAAAATTTATCCAAATCCCAAGAGTTGTTCAAACCAGTGAAAACAGATAGTCCAGAAATCCAAATCATTAAATCAAAAGAACGCCAAAAATAATTAAATAAAAAAACAACTCAGTATTATTACTTGAGCAACTTTTCTTAAACGATGGATTGAAGAAATGCTGTTGGGAGTGGAGATGTTAGTTATGAAGTTGGCCACTAGATTTTATGAAGCAATACCAATCTCTGGAGAATCAGTCATACCTTTGCAACTTGCTCAATAATTTGCGTTCTAACTTTCTCAGGAATTTGAGGTATCTCCTACGATGGATCTTCACCTGCTTCGGTCATTTCTTTAGATTTTTTGGAGAAAATCACGGACAGAAGTTCTCATCTTCAACAGAAACTAGTTTCTATTTCACACCTGTGAAGATGTGTTGGAATGTTGTCATCAGTGCTCGCAGCAAGCTTTTGCCTTCAACTGTTTATTGTGCCAGAGGGGAAAGCAAGATCATCGTTCAAGTAAAGTTTTTTTAACTGATTAATACACAGTATGCACAGACTGTTAGAAAGAGAGAGCAAAAACTGGGAAATCCACATTGTTAAGTCAAAAGAGGGATAGCATTGCAATCTGAGCCATGATGTTCTGATTCAGCTCATGTGTTCGATCAGGTCAGCTGTGCTGGGATGAGCTGAGCAAGAACTAGGGAGTAGGATCAATAAAACATCCACACATAGCACATATGAAAAGTCAAGGGAGAACATTTGGCAAATATTTTCTTATTACCAAAAAATATTGACATTAATGATTAATGTTTTCCGAAAGGGAAAAATTAGATTTTCTTGGACTATTTTATTCAACTTTAACTGATTGTTGTCAAAATAAGTATTTTGTTTGCTTACTTACCTGCTGTACTAAACCCAAAAAGAAAGCTTTTATAATATGCCCAAGATTTGTAGGACCTTCAATTTTTGCATGAAGATCTTTTATACCAATGACTTCGCACATAGTTTTAATTGCTCGATGGCAGTGGAGTCCATATCCTTCTGGCTTCTTTTGAACAAATATTTTTGTCTTTCCAAACTGACAGAAGAAGTCATGGTAAACTAAAATAAATATCACGTTAAATTTCCTCTTTCTTTTCTTTTTCATGCATATATCACCGTGCAGATCAAATAAGTTACCTGTATGATTTTTGTAAATATCAACAAATACAAGTTTTTGGCCAGCTCGGTTTTTGGCTGTTCGCAGAGAAGCTTTTGCATCATTTGCTTTGCCCATTGCAAATCCAGCCAGGCCATTGCCATTACCAGTTACCACTAAACTACTGACACGACGTTTTCTACCAAAATTGCCGCTCATATTGACAACCAACTTTAACTACAAAACAAGAAAAAGAACTGTGAACAATGGTAGTTCTAGATAAAAGAAATTATTGAAAGTATAGAACTTACCTCCAAAACTTTGGTATCAAAGCCTTCAAAGTTGTCTGGAAATAGTTAGAAGTATTATAATACAAAATGACAACTGAATAATTCAACAATGAAAAACATAGTGCAAAGAACATTCATTTTGGAAATTCCAGTATTTATCAGAGCATTTTGTTAATAGTTCTTTTTGTCAGGAATCTAAGAGTTTGGGTACATAAATACTATACCTTCACCAATTGAATCAGGAGGTCCAATACTTCGACCAGGCATCTTAGAACCAGACCATCCTCGCTCCATAGGTGATAAACGAATGGGTTTAAAGACACCCATCTTGTTTCGAATTTCTTCTAATTTTTTTTCTCGTTCTGGATCAGGAGGTAATTGTTGGTGTTGTACTAATTCCCGACCACGAATAATGGGTGCATTCAATCCTGGCCAAACAATGTTTGCTTTTCCTGTAATTTTTAATGATAATTTTATTAATTACCAAAGTTAGGTCAGGCATATTACAAAACAAAATTGTTTTATTTTGAGGTGAACACATGAAATGGAATTATTATGTTATATTAAAGACACTGCATAACGCGTTATGATGGGAAAAAAAGTTAAGTACTTACCAACTCCAATTACTTGTCCTCTGTTTAAATCTTTGGAAGACTTTCTCCCAATACCTTTTCCACGCCCCCTCTTTTTTCCAGCATTACTTACACCAGTGACACCTGACCACAAGTGGTCTGCTGGAACTAAAGTTCAACAAATGGTAAAGTAATTTTCAATATATAAATTAAATTTTACATACATATGGAAAACAGAACTTACGCTTGTTAAAAAAACTGGTACATCTGTATGGCTGTATGTTAATACTTCTAATTCTAGAAATGTTATTCAATGAATTCCTACATGATGTACTGCATGGCAAGCCAGAAATGGGTCGTAATCCTGGAAATTAAGTGAATGCAACTTAATAATTGAAAATTAGATTATTTAATGTGTTTCGAGAATATTACGATTATATTGCTACGAATATTATGATTTTATTACCATTGCACCTTGAAAATAAATAAATCTTTTGAGTAAGTGCTACAGCATTTTTCCACATTCTTACAAAATTTTTAAATTAATATTGGGGAAGATGTTTCTACTTTTCGATATTTTTAAACAACAAAACTACTTTTAACCTGAATCATAACATTAACTTCTACTCAGATAGTATATAATATATATTCCATTCTCCACGCCGCACCATCCAAACCACACCAATGACGAACAAAAGCCTATCACGTGATAAAGAAATACATCAATGTTGATAACTTACAAAATCAAAATCTATTTAAAGGGTTGAAAATATCGAACATATTTTACATTTTGGGAAGGTTATTTTGTGGTAATAAACACAAAATAGTAAAATTGAAGTTTTTTTGGAATGTAAAATAAATCCTTTTATCTACAGGTATACAAACGATTTGATTCATTTCATTTGTTTTCCATTGCATTTGTCATGATTCCTAACTTGAGAACAGTGCTCTACAAGCGACAAAAACAGCACGAGTGCGCACCGAGTGTGTGGAGTGTGTCTACGGAAGCGGGTTTCGCGGTGCTGTTACTTTGGTTGTGTACAGTTGTTTCGGCATAAGACGAATTTGTACAAATGTAATACATGGAGTGGAATATATAGTAAACTACGTAAAACTATATACTTCTTTTAATTTTTTGATTCGCATATTTTAATAACTCGCCGCGATGGGAGTTCCGGCATTCTTTCGATGGTTGAGTAGGAAGTATGTCTCTGTAATTGCAACATGTGTGGAAGAAAAGGTATATTGATGCATTTCATTCAAGCCTTTTTTATACTGAAATGTGATATGGCATGTTATTAGTCTAGAAATGCAAATATTTATGGGGTGAAATGTGATATTTTTGCATGTTTTATGTGATATGAGGTTATGCATTCATTATAGGGCCGTCAAGTGGATGGGACCACTCTACCTGTGGACGCTACCAAGCCAAATCCAAATGGCGTGGAATTTGATAATTTGTATCTTGACATGAATGGGATTATACATCCTTGTACACATCCAGAAGATAAGTTAGTAAACAATATCAACCAAACCATTGCATGAATTAGTTATTCCTAAATATTGTGAGATTAATTCTGTATTTGATGTATTTTCAAATTTACAGGCCAGCTCCAAAAGATGAAGATGAGATGATGGTTGCTATTTTTGAATGCATTGACAGATTATTTAACATTGTAAGACCTCGAAAATTGCTCTACATGGCCATTGATGGGGTTGTAAGTACTTATTCTAAAGATGTACTTATGTATTTTTTGTAAATATAGGATATTATTTTTAGAAGTATTGCTATTGTACCATTTGATTCTGCCAGTCTGTTTTAATAATTCTGAAAGAGGATTTGATAATGGAAATAAAGAGGATGATTCTTGCAGAAACACACTCCACCATAACAATTAATTTGCTGATGCTTTGGTAAATTGGAAGTTGGCAGTGTTACAGCTCTTTTTACAGGGAACATTTTTTTCACTAGTAAGGAGTTGGTTCTCAGCAACATAAACATTCAGTTTATGAACAGGGCTGGGCAATATGAACTGAATGTGAATTTCAGTTTGTATTTTTCATCCTAGAAAAATTTTACAGCCAACACAGTTGAAGTGTGGTCGACACACTTTCCTGTGTAATTGTGGCGATTTGCTAAACATGCCTGAGTTGAGAACGAGGCTCAGGTCTTTGGCCCTCGTGAAAACATAAAACATCCTTGAGTCTGTCCTATACATTTTATGGGAATTCTTACCTTTATAGTCGTTGGGTGTTCTTCCTAGAATATAATGTTCTTTCCTTTTGAAGGGAATAGTATTATACTGACCTACACAAACAATCGAGTATGAGAAACAAATCATTAAAAGGAACTGTGACACCGCCAACTTTCGATCAACCAATGCTTTTGCAATTTTTAACTGCAACACAATATGTATACTTGGATTTATTTAGAGCTGCTTCTGATGTAAATCGGCTGTTAGTGTCATCCAATCAGAAGGTTGAACATCACCGTAGTGACATGCAAACTCCCGATTGGATGACACCATAATAGCAAATGACCTGTCAGAGATAGCTGTAAATAACTTGCTGTATAGTGGAAATACAGAGATAATTACTGTTGATTCAGTGTCTTTGTGAATTGGGACATCTTTAGACTATTAGGAACTGTGATATATGCAGTTAATCTCATAGAGGAATAATAGTTTCTGATAATTATTCAACATTAGCTTGTCCGCTCGGCTTGTGAGGGAGCTGTATGTGTGTGTGTGTGTGTGTGTTTGAATGTGGTATTTGAAGTAAAAAATAAAGGTAACATGATTTGACATTGGTTTTGGAAAACACAAAATTCAAACATTTTTTGCCAAAATTCTTGTGTCACCAAGGTTTTGCTTGTTCAGCCTTCACTCTCTGATTTAAACACATGATTTGTGTAAAACAACTGTGAGTTTGGCAAATGCAAAATAATCACTACAATTTTTTATGCCAAAAAATACATACACCAATGTTACCACCCTTTCCGAAGTGTCTGCACTCAAGGATCAAGTTAAAATAGAATTAAGGGTGGATAACTGACAATTTTCTTGCATACTCCAAAGTTCTTCAGAGTGTGAATTGTAGTTTTAAGTTAAGTTGGGGATCAAGTTTATGTATGAGAAAAGCAAACAAGGTAGTTCAAAAAGTGCAACAAGAGGGAATTAAATGTTTTTGTGGAACAAAACTTGGTGATTACTTCATGTTTTTATGAAAGTTATTTAAATGTAGGTTTTGGTGTCATTTGAAAGGTTTTAATCACTCATCAAAAGTACTCATCATTTTAATGGAGAGGAAAAAATTCCCATTTTCTCCTAATTTCCATTAAGTGGTCCCATTTCATCATTGATCAGTTCCCATTTTCTCCTAATTTCCATTAAGCGGTTTTCTCTGGAATCAACAGTAATACAGTAACAGTAACACAGCCATAGTAAATATTTAACAATTCGAGTTGCATCTCCAAATATTGTTATCCATCTTTTAGAATGTTCTGAAACAAAGTAGCACTGTCAAATTATCATAACATCATATATTCTGTTGTTAGCATGATAACTAAGTGAATATTTTTTTCAGGCACCTCGTGCTAAGATGAATCAACAAAGATCTCGCAGATTTCGTGCTTCTAAGGAAACTGTAGAAAAGGTTCAAGAAATATCCAGGATCCGGTCAGAATTGGCTGCTAAAGGTTGTCATCTGCCCCCAGAAAAGCCTAAAGAGAATCATTTTGACAGCAACTGTATTACTCCAGTAAGTTATTATACACACATTACCTACATTAGTTACAGTATTTGCTGTTGTGTTATGTTGTTAACAATAATCATCAATTTTTGATGAAATTTAGTGGCAAACTCATTTAAAAGGAAGTTCTAGAGACCAAACACCATGTAATATTTATATCATAAATATTCCAGTGACATATTTAAAAAAAAAATTGATGAATTACATGTTAATAAAACTGCAGATCCAAGTGGAATACTGTCGATCTTATTAAAGAAATGTGTATTTTCATTTATTCTGAAAGAATTTTGTGATTAATCATTGAAGGAAGGTTTATTCCCCAATGTGTGAAATCTACCTGTAAAACACTTATCCACAAATCTGGTTCTAGAAATGAAATTGTAAATTACAGACGTATTTCAATTTTAACTGTCATTCCAAAGTTATTTGAGCATATTATTGTTCATAAATTAAAAATATCTATCCCTTTTTTCTGACCAGACAATGTGGATTTACACCAGGTAGAAATGTAGAATCAAATTTGGCTATTTTTATATTCCAAATTCATTTGAGAAATTTCAATTTGGCAGTATTATAATGTGCTATTTCATAAATTAATATATTTTTACATATCTGGTCCTCTGCTTAATGGTTCCAAAATTCAATTTGTTGTTCTAAGATAAATCTGTCACTACAATTTGTACAATAAAATGGTTATATGACATCGCCTATCAATGTGTTGTTAGGTGTAAGGCTCTTGTTTTTTTTATTAATGACATTGGATTAACCTTTCAAGTACAAAGCTTGAGAATCTACATCAACTATCAAGGGGGGTCTGCATGGACTCTGCCACATCAAGAGAAGAGTTGTAAATGATAAGGATCACATATTTAAGAGATAACTTAAGTCAATTGTTAGACAATCATGATTTATTTAGCAAGTTCGTAGTTATTAACTTAATATTTTCACTATATGTGTGACAAACAATTTCTGTAACCTTTTTGTGATGACTTGAAAACCTGTACTTCTTCACTTCGCACAATGTGTTGTACTTCTATCAGTCTTTCTAGGACATCACTTACATTGGTTTCTCTATGATGGCTGTTTTGCAGCAGTGTGTACTTGTGTACTATTTCTTCTGAAATGAGATTTCATATTGTATTTATTGTTCTGTTGAGATTCTGTAAATCTGGTTGTCCTGTCGAGATTTTGTAAATGTTCCTTGGCATGGGGTATGAATAATTCTTTCCTGAAGTCTAACAAAAATCTTTGCCTTCCATGCCCAAAATGTATTTTGAAATTTTGATTTTTCTCTTCCATATAATGTTAATTGTAATTCAAAAACCCTTTATTAACTATGTTGAGAAACAAATCATATGGCCACCTTCTTGCATTCTTCACAGAATATTTGTTGACCATTTTATCAAGTTCAGTTTCAGATATTTCTGACATGCCATCACATTCACTATTATTTTCCAAGACATTTTGTAATAAACGTTAGACATTATCACACTGAGTAACATTATTTGTAATGAACATTTCACGTGTTTTTCGACATTTTTATCACAAAGCAAATTGCACATATAGTGTGCTCACAATATGTTGAATAACATAAAATGAATTTCTTTTCAAAATTACCACAAGGCAAAAACTTATGCCTATATCGAATGTATTAAGTTTGGATCAAACAATATTTTATTTATTTATTTAATGAAGTTAATGAGTGATACCCTTTTACATAGTAATAATACAAATTCAAAAAGAATTAACAGAGTAAAGCATGTGAAAATAAATATAAAATATCTGTTAGGCAGAAAGTAGTGTAATCATAAGCGCAAAATAATGAAAATAAAAATAAATACAAGCTTACAAATTTTACATAATCTGAAATAATTAAGGTGTCTATTTAAAAAACCCTGAAAGACATTATTTTCAGTTGTTAAAATATCATAGCCCGTACCTAAGTTATTTGCCAAAACACAAATGCGATTCATTGTCTCGTTTGCACAATAGTTACTCGCAGAAGTTTCAATTAAAAAGGAAGTCTTGCCTAAAGATTTGCTTTGGTGCTGTTAATGATATGCAAGAAGATGTCTGCGCAGTCTATTCTATCGAACAGAATATCACGTAGGAAATAAATATCAGCACGCTTTCTTTTAGAATGAAGATTATATAATTTAGATATTATGAGCATGACATCATAGTCATGATTGTCTGGGGCGATTGTCAGGCCAAACCCCATAGGAACTTGTGTAAAATCTTTCAATGGCTGATATACTTCATTTTGAATATGGATTCCAAACATGCGATGCATATTCAAGAATTGGTCTAACAAGTGCTTGAGAGAGAACCAAAAGAGTCACAACAGATCAAAAATGCATTGAGTTCTGCAAGACCATACCCTACATTTGCAGTGGCTTAGAAATAACGCCATGAATATGATTCCCAAAAGTCAGCTTACCATCAAACATGACACCAGGTCACTTATACAATCAACTCTGATGAATGTTTCATCTTCAATTTTATAATCTGTTTATTATTTTATTCCTTTTTATAATAATTGACATAACAAACCATGTCCCCATATCATTTTCCGGGCACCATGTCTGCAAATTGCAAAGCTCTCGCTGGAGCAAAGCAACATCATCATTGTTAACAACCCTTTACAAGTTCGTCACCTCATAAAACATTCATTGACTGTCAGACATACACCCTGGTAGGTAATTTATATTATGTTTGAACAGTAAGGGCTGAAGATGCAAATGTTGCTGAACTCCACTTGTTACATCAAATATACCTGATGAATAGCCCTTAATACAAACAAGGGTCTTTCTGCCCGTCAGGTAATTACCAATCCAATTTAGCAAAGCTCCTATTCCAAGCCCGTGAATTTTGTTTTAAAGCATCTTTACCCAAGTAATGTGGAAAGAAACCATTCTAATATTACTAATTACTATTAGGAGATCGAAAAATTGAGAAAATATTACAAAAATGTTTTTTAAAACAGTCCTTTTCAGAAAATGACTGATAGTGATTGGTAAAATCATGGAAAACTACCGATCAGAGCAGCCAGGCACCAATTCTCCAGGTAGGGGCTGAATTTGATATAGCTCTATAGTTGATTACAAAACAATTTTTTTTTTTTAGGGAACGCCTTTTATGGCTAGACTTTCTGCTTGTCTACATTACTATGTTCATGATCGTATGAACAATAATCCTGCATGGAAGGGAATCAAGGTGATTTTGTCTGATGCAAATGTTCCTGGTGAGGGGGAACACAAAATTATGGACTACATCCGTCGACAACGTGGTATGTTAAATTTGATGACCTATTATATTTTTATTTAAATTTAAACTCCAAATTAATATTCAATT